CAACTGACTCATGAAACATATGTATAATTCAACTGTTGAAAGTGCAATGAGTTACATCAAGCGTTCTAGTTGTGACTGATATTTATGGCTTCATTTTCGATGCTGTGCATTCTTTGTCTTTTATGCATTTCTTTTGTTTTTGGAATGTCAAATATTGTTGGAGGGCCATGTTGCCGTGACTCACTTTTATTGACTTGCAGTAAATATATTGGTCTTCTTCAGGCTTGATTGTTATGGGCATCTTTCCTAACTTTACTTTTAACTTTCTCAACTCACTGTAAAGTGCAAAATGCATTTTGCATTTCTGAGTTAATGATAGGTGTGGTGTGGGGTTTCACATTACATGTTAACTAACTGTTCTTTATTGGCAATGTAATTTTTGTTTATTTTATGTTGCATCCTATTGGTTTTCTTTCCTGGGTAGATCTCTTTAATAGTTAGAATTACAAAGCATATGCTTATTGATTCAACTTCCATGTTCAGTTCCTGGTGAATATTTTGCCAACTTGGATGCTACTGGAAGAAGAATTGACTTGGATCAGCGGCCCGAGCTTATAAAAGGCAGTGTGGAATTTGTTGCACCGACTGAATACATGGTGCGACCTCCAATGCCGCCACTGTACTTCTTTCTCATTGATGTTTCAATATCTGCAGTAAGAAGTGGTATGATTGAGGTAAGCATTTCCTTTAAGGCAGTTAATTATTTACCATAACTTGTTGTAATAAAGCATTGTGTTATTCTAATAGGAATTTTATAAAGGCATTTTTTTTCTAATTGTAATGTGAATTAAGAACATGTGAAGTACAGTTGAGGAGGTTGCTCTGTTTCTGATCAGCTATTGGTGCTCAATATTGTTCTGGTATTCTGCATAAAATGCTGGCTTGGGTTATCTAGTGTCTGTCTCATATATTTTGTACGCTTTGAAAGTGGTAAATGGGCGGTCTTTGCCACAACTTGGTCTCAAATATGGTTATAAAGTAAGGTTTGCAAGAATCTTTTGCCTTGCCATGAAATCCGTAGAGAAATATAGGTTAACCTTGATGCTTTATTACAGGGTTTGTTGGAAAGAGTAAAACTTGTTTAGCTGATTGTTCATCCTGGTTGTTCTAGGCATTTTTCAATCATACTTGATTAAATTCTTGTGATAATATGTACCTTGATAGGCCACACTGCTCTTCTTCCCCTTTTGTTTTTTCTCCTTACATTGTATATCCGTGTAATGGTTTCTGCTGACTTATAATGTATCTGTTAGGTTGTTGCTCAAACTATACGTTCATGTTTGGATGAGCTGCCTGGTTTCCCCAGAACACAGATTGGTTTCATTACTTACGATAGCACCATTCATTTTTACAATATGAAGGCAAGTGATTCCTGAGATGTGGAAATGTTTTTCTTAGATAAGATTTTTCTCCATTTCAGTCAAGTACTTCCAATAAAACTTGTGTGTTTTTTTGGTCTTTGCAGTCATCTCTTACACAGCCTCAAATGATGGTGGTTTCAGATCTGGATGATATATTTGTGCCATTGCCAGATGACCTCCTTGTTAATTTGTCTGAATCTAGAAATGTGGTTGAAACATTCCTGGATAGTTTGCCCTCCATGTTTCAGGACAACGTGAATGTGGAATCTGCTTTTGGTCCTGCACTTAAGGCAGCATTCATGGTTATGGTATGATATTCTCTCCACCATTTCTACTATTAGCCTTTACCAATGATATCTTTCTTTTTAGTTTCTTGCTGATGTTTGTGTTGTATATTGGTTTGACTACCTATTTACTGTAGAGTCAACTTGGGGGAAAGCTGCTAATATTCCAGAACTCATTGCCTTCCCTGGGAGTTGGGCGCTTGAAGTTGCGTGGAGATGATCTTCGTGTGTATGGAACTGATAAGGAACATATATTAAGATTACCAGAAGATCCCTTCTACAAGCAAATGGCTGCTGATCTTACAAAGTACCAGATAGGGATTAATATTTATGCCTTCAGTGACAAATACACCGACATAGCTTCATTAGGTGAAAAAAACACTGCACTTTTTGATATAGATGATGTGATGTTTATAAGAGCTTCTAGTAATACTTGATGTCTCTTTTATGAATTTCAATGTAGGAACCCTGGCAAAATATACTGGAGGTCAAGTGTATTATTATCCAAGCTTCCAATCAGGCATTCATGGAGAGAAGCTGAGGCATGAATTAGCCAGAGATCTCACTAGGGAAACAGCCTGGGAAGCAGTTATGCGCATAAGATGTGGAAAAGGTCTGCAGATTCTTTTTATTTGTTGTTTATATACTTGTAAGTGAATGCTATTAAGCCATAATTCCAATGTAGTTGGGTTGGCTACATGAGTTTTTTTTTCTCCTTCCACCTATATGTTGTGACATGGGCTAAGTCTTATATAAAATGCTATTAATATTTACTGTAACTTGTGTTATCTTTTCCCATGATTTTCGATAACGAAGCAATTGATTCATGTTAATTTGTTACTTCGCTCCAGGGATTAGGTTTACTACATATCATGGCAACTTTATGCTGAGGTCCACAGATTTACTAGCACTTCCAGCGGTGGACTGTGATAAAGCATATGCAATGCAGTTATCCCTTGAGGAGACACTGTTGACAACTCAAACAGTGTATTTCCAAGTCGCTTTATTGTATCCTTCAAGTGGCTCATTTATTATATCAGTTTTAATTTATTAGGTTATTCCCTTGTTGGCTGAAACTGGTACCTTTATAAGTGGAAAAAGGATATGGGTTACTGATGTTTCTTTAACAATTTAAAGATATACCGCATCTTGTGGAGAGAGGCGTATCAGAGTACATACAGCAGCTGCACCCGTTGTTACTGATCTGGGGGAGATGTACCGCCAGGCTGACACTGGTGCCATTGTTTCTTTGTTTTGTAGATTAGGTAAAACTTAATCAAAAGCCCTTTACAATAGATGCTATTTATTTTTGTGGATATTAGTTTCAGCGGATTCTTTTATTTTCTAACCAACTGATATTTTGCAGCAATTGAGAGAACTTTGACCAGTAAACTTGAAGATGCTAGAAATTCTTTGCAGCTAAGGATCGTAAAAGCACTCAGAGAATACCGCAATCTCTATGCTGTGCAGCATAGGTTGGGAACTAGGATGATTTATCCAGAGTCTCTGAAGTTCTTATGTTTGTATGGATTAGCACTCTCTAAATCAGTACCTCTAAAAGGAGGATATGCCGATGCTCAGCTTGATGAACGCTGTGCAGCAGGTTTCACGATGATGGCATTACCTGTTAAAAAGCTGTTGAAGCTTTTATATCCCAGCTTGATTCGAATTGATGAGTATCTTTTGAAGGTGAAAATTTTTAAACCTTTAAAATATTTCAATAAGGATGTTGAGCTTGCACCTGAACATCACTTTTGTCTCATATTTCAGCCATCTGCTGAAGCTGATGACGATTTCAAAAACATCATGAAGAGGTTACCTTTGGTTGCAGAATGCCTAGACTCAAGAGGTCTTTATATATACGATGATGGTTTCCGCTTTGTTATTTGGTTTGGTAGAATGCTATCGCCAGATATAGCTAAGAATTTACTCGGATCAGACTTTGCAGCCGAATTATCAAGGGTATGATATCTTCTTGATGAAGCTATATTCTTAATAGTTTCAAGCTTGTTGAATATGATAGGTTTAAGCTGTCTTAGTGACCATTTAATGTGTAAAGAAAACTGATCATTGTCGGTATTCAACATATACAAGATTTTCTTCAAATGCTGACCACGATGTAGCTGTTTTAAGTTAATCTGTTTGACAATTCCTTTGACCTTTCCTTGGCATGCCCCGTGATGAGTTCGTAACTGGTTCTTCATGTTGTTGATTTAAAATCAGGTTATTCTTACCGAGCAGGATAATGAAATGTCGAGAAGGCTGATGAAGATTTGAAGAAACTAAGAGAGAGTGACCAGTCATATTATCAATTCCTTATCTTGTAAGACAAGGCGAACAACCGAGGGAAGGTTTGCTGCTACTTGGTAATCTTATCGAGGACCAGATGGGTGGTACCACTAGCTATGTCAATTGGATAATGCAAATACACCGACAAGTCCAGCAAAACTGATGATTTACAGGTAATTGTTTCGGATGTTGCTACGTTTCGTCAAGTCTTCTTGAACTTAAGAATAACTATGCTCCTTTCATTAGGTATAATTCTTAAATCTAGCTTTAGTTGGAGAAAAGCTGTTTCTCGGGAGGTGTTCTTTAGTCCCTCTTGGTCTTGGTGTTAACGGTGTCCGAATTATGGGCTTCTTTTCTTTATGGAATACTTGAAACTCATCAACATTTGCTTTTGATTCTGTTTTACTTCAATCCAACAGGGATTCATTGTCGGTATGTCGTAAGTTCATCTGCACATGCTGGTTTCCATCGGAGCTTATGTGTTGAACGGATGGATCCGATCAGCCCGAAGATTTGCAGGAAACAAATTTTTTGTTCAGTTCGAAATTCAATAACTAGGGAGAAGAAAAGAAAGAAAGACCTGTGCTTCTAGTTATTCGTTATTGCAGTGGTTGAGAATTTAAGTTGAAAACAAATTACTGTATTTGACGGTTAGATTATTGCATTTAGAAAAGGTGTGAACAAGTATTATAAATTAAAAGTTTCTTTCTATAACATCAAGCCATTAAGCAACTTTTCACCCATGTAGATGCCTAATGACTCCGGTCCAGTCCATTTCCTTGTGTAGAGTGGTATTTTGGGCAATCAAGAATCTCACGTTCATGAAGTGAAGTGAGATTTTTCAGCCACTCTGGTAGTACTTCAAAGTTGTTGCAATTTTGAATTCGTATTCGCCGCAAAGTGGAAGAAGATCCTTTGAGAAGCAAGTCTGGCAAATCTTTCAACTCTTCCAAATCCCAGAGTGAGAAAGTTTTGAGGCTCAACTGAAGGTTTACATCATCCTCTTCTAGTTCCATTTGTAAATTGATTCTCTTGCATGAAGATATACTGAGGACTTCTAATTTGGTTAGAAATTCATGCTTCTGGGCAACGAGACAAGATTAGAACAACCCAAGAGATCAAGTGTTCGAAGTGATGTAAGATGCTTCAGTCCTTCTGGTAAACATTCTAAATTGTCACAGTCGATCAAGCCCAAGTATTGAAGACAAGGCCAACATCCTTTTTGAATCTCTGTCAAATGCTTAGCTTTAATAGTTATCTCTAGATATCTCAGCTCAATCAAGCATTTCATGCGGTTAGGTAATTTCTTCAAAGGAATTCCCGACATTCTTAGCTTTTGCAACAACCGGAGCTCATAGAAGGATCTCGGCAGTTCCGTTATACTATGACAGCCGGCCAAGTCGAGGTCTCTTAAGTGCTTCAATTTACCAATGTCCTTATGTAAACCTGTCAATGATGCCTGAGAACGTAGACGAAGTACTCGCAGGTGCTCGAATTTGGAGACACAAAGATCTATAAGAGATTCCTCAATAGTATTTGATTCTTTGACACCTCCTGGATGATCACTGTTCTAACGTTGTTAGTTTCTTCAAGTCTTCTGGAACCATTTCTAGCTTGTCATCAGAAATTGATAAATGTCGAACATTTTCATCGACGGTTGTTTGGCTACTCACCGTTTTACACTCCTTTTGGGACACTTCCAATGCAAGATCATGGAACAGATCGTGCATTCTAAAGGCAAAATAAGTGTCATAATCCTTCTCCTTCTGGATGATGCACCTTGACAGTAATTCATCCAAATACCGATCACCAACAGCCTCCCACTCTTGGTTTTCCATGGGATGCTCAAGCAGTCCATTTGCCATCCAAAGTTGGATGACTTCCTGACTACGATAAATCTCATCCTTCTTGTACAATGCCAGAAAAGCAAGACATCGTTGCAAACGAGACGGCAAATGATCGTAACTCAACTTCAACACGGGTAAAATACCATGTTCACTTTGCCGAAGTCTCCACATTTCACTATCTCTTACAGAGATCCAATTAGATTCATTTGTTTTCCGATGTAGTAGGTTTCCCAATGTTCTAACCGCCAGAGGAACTCCTTTGCATCTTCGCACAATGTCCTCCCCAATTCTCATGAGATTCGGATGTTGCCTCTCATCACCATCATTGAAAGCCCATTTTCTAAACAAGTTCAAGCAAACTTCATGAGGGAGGCCTTCCAATTTTATAGGGGGGTATGAACTCATTATCCTGGCAACCGTCAAACTTCGAGTGGTCACAATGATTTTACTTTTAGACCAGCCATCCATTGATATCAATATATTTCTGAACTCAACCCATCTTTCTTGATTATCATTCCAGACATCGTCAAGAACGAGCAGAAACTTCTTATCCTTCAGAAGACTTCGTAAACAGTTTTGCAAGGCATCAAGTGCCGAATGATCACATCTTTCTTCTTTGTTAATAGAGTGAATCATCAGCTTGAGCATCCTTGGAAGATCAAATTCCTTCGAAACACAGACCCACAGCTTCTGTTGGAAACGACGAGTAACTTTATGGTCATTGTACACCAATTGAGCGACCGTGGTTTTACCGAGACCGCCCATTCCAACAATAGGAATCACAGGGTCACTTGCTCTCTTCAAAAGATTAATAATTTTCTTTTTATCATCTTCTCTACCAATGACATCCCGAGAGTTAACGAAAGAGTGAGTCTCTCTGTGAAATACATGCCGGTTGTCGTCGCTACACTTTGCTAGGCCAAAGCTATCCCACTTGGGGGCGAGTTCGCTTAGCCTCTGATTGATCCCTTTGATTTTACGAGCCATTGTCAAAGAGAACGTACCGTGGCAGCGTTTAGCAGAAAGTCGGCCCTGGAAGCTGAGCTCGGAATGTTGGGATACCTGTTGGCGGACAGCCTCACACTTGAAAGCATCGATGACATCTTCGGCATCGTAAAAGATGTCTCTGAGCTTCCACATACAGAGACGCAAGTTCTCGTTTTGGTGCTGCTGCCGCTCGGCATCGAAAAGCACAGCTTGAATGTGGCTCAGGGTCTCCCTGAGCTTCTTCAAATCCCAGTTGACAAAGAAGATCGAGTGAGCTTGGTTTACTATAAGGCGGAATAGATTCTCCAGAACCCCTAATGCAATAGGGGCCAAAAACGTTTCTGCCATAATTGATCTCTGAGAACAAAGAAAGAATGAAGAGAGGCAAATTGTTTAATGAAATTGAAGCACTCAAAAAAATTCTCTTTTCTTTCAGCAATATATCGACATTGCCTTTGAGCAAATTATCTTGTGGTTGTAGATCATCAACGATTATATATATTCCATAGTTGAATAGTCTTGGAGGGTATTTTACAATAAATATCATCAAATTGGATCGTCAAACGCTCTAACGACTAGAACCATTTCTTATTCTCCAAGGAAAAGACATAGAAGGTGCTGGTGGACTTTGATTATATTTATTTGGCTGAAGGAGAGTTACCTTCCATGTGCTCTTCCAATAACTATGATCTTAATTAGGGGTACATGTTAACCTGTAACAATTAACCGTAATATATTGATATATTTATTATATTTTATAGGTTTAGTAACAGTTAATAGTTACAATGACGATTATGAATTTTGAGAAATTATTAACTATCAGTTAACCGTTATTAAATTATAGATATAATTTTTAAAGGAAAATAGAAGTATACTAGTTGTTTTATGTTTGTTAAAGATTTATCTTTAAATCATTAATCCTACTACAAAATTCAGTGTACACTTAATTTTGGTAGGTGAGTCTCGCAGCATGAATTTTCTGTATACACAAGAACTCAATCTCGAAACTTACTAAAACGATATCAAATCACTTACCACTTGAACCAATTATATATATATTAGTTTAGTGTTTGTTTAGGTCAGTTATACCGAAGTAATTTTAATATGGAAATACGATCGTTCGTGAATCTCGATGATAGTAATAAAGGATGAAAATGTCAACTCTGGTTTGGATAAGACTTTTTCTTTCAACTGAATTATTAAACGTAGAATAGAGTTTGACAATAACAAAAGGAAAATTAGATTAAGCCAATCATTTTCATTTTGCGATAAATTTGTTGATTAAGCCAACACGCTCATGAAGTAATTAATTTATTGATATGGCTGCATGTTGTGTTTCATTTTTTAGTCCTGCCAATCATGTAATAAAGAATATAACTTTTAATTGCATATAAATTGTAATATATATATATATATATATATAAAGTTTTCTGGATGTATAGATTTTCATTTTTTAGATTTTTTATTTATATATAAAAGAATGATATTACTCATCTTTGGTCAAACGATTACTATCTATATTTTGATATAATTCTTATTGTGTTCTTCTGTATTTTAATTTTTTCTCCTTTTTTTCATTATTTCAATTTTTTTCATAATTGATTTTTATATTATTTGTTTTATACTTATTTTTCCTCGTTTAATAAAAAATAGATTTTTTTTATTTTTGTAGCATTTTTTTTCTTTTTTTCAGTTTTGGATCTGACGTAATATCTCTGGTTAACGTTTTTTTTTTCTGTTGGGTTAGTTTTCTCGTATTGATAGGTACTCGAAATCATCTTATATAGATCGTGTTTGAGTTGTGATAAAATCATTAGACAGTAATCAAGATGTTGTCATCATTATATTTATTTTTGGCCAATGTTGATGGTGTTTATCATTAATCAATGTGTCGACACCGTTTTTTGCCAGGGCGAGAAAAAAATCGATACCGACTCGGGGGTTTTCTCTTTGAAAGGAATTTTCAAAATGTGAGGAGTCGTCACCAATCATTTAAAGTGCGATTGGAACACCATAAAAACCGAGTGATTTTAATAAAACATTTTATTTTTATCAAAATACCAAATTTTAAGGTCTACGAAAAATCCAGAAATCAGGTTCAGGAGTCGGTTACACGTGAGGAAGGATTAGCACCCCCACAAGCGCCCAAAAATTGGTACCTAGTTGATTACCCTATATTTAAAATCGAAAATGTTGAGTTCAATCTTTATTTAATTTGAAAATCATTACGGATGCAAGGTTGAAAAGGGTATTAGTTTATTGAGACCGATAGCATTCACTCTCAAGTGTAAATGCGAGATATCAACTATTGTGCCTAATAACTAAATATTGTCTCGTTTTTAGAAAATCATGATGCGATCTTTGAAAATGGTGTCGACCTATTTCGGGAATCACCAGTAGTCACCCCCTGAGCATACTTGCGAGGATATATTGTTAATTTCCTAATAAATGAACATTGTCTTAGGTTAAAAAAACAATGCAATCAAACAAATTCTTATTTTATCCTAATTAAGCTAAGGTAAATTAAAGGTTGTTTCTAACTTAAGGTGTCAAATTATGAGTCATTTCTTACCATAATAACTCCTTCACTGGCTCATCGCAAGCCAATGTTTGTTCAATAACATAAGTACAAATTAAATTGCACTCACCTATATCTCCTTGTCTTTCCCTCGATCAATCTTACTTGTCAATTGTTCCTGAATTGCTTTAGGCTCATAATCTATATAAATATACATTTTAAGGTAATTATCAGATATCTACACCTTGTAATTTGATGTTAATAACTTAAACGAATTTAATAAACCAATATTCATTTTTCATACCACTAAACTCAACTATCATTACTTAAATCAACTTATATCCATATAAACCATCTTTATCTTCCATATCTCCTCATGATTCTTAAAATTAAGAATCTTACTAAAATTTCAACTTTGTTATTAATCCTTTCTAACTTCATAAATTTCTTATTCTTATTGATGACAAGTCAAATTTCATCTCAAAGTTAATTTATTAACTCTTTTCCATAAAATTCATTTAGAAACTCCTTATCTTTAATCTTTCATAACTTCTTCATCTTTTGATTTTAAGAAAACTTAAGCTTTACTTAAGCTTAAGTATCACCTAAGGATCAAAACTCACACTTAAAATCAACGAATAATCAACTAATAAGAAAACTCACTTTTGCCTTGGAATCTTACGGGGAGAAGAAAAAGAAGGAAGAAGGGAGAGTTTTCTGGATAAACTCTACTCTTCCTATCCTTTACTCATATAAATCATCAGAAAATATCTATTGATCATTTACTTATCAAATGACCCTTTACTTCATTTAATAATTACTAGTAATAATTCATAAAATATCTTCAAATAAATCTTTGAACTATTTAACTATTCTACTTTAATCATCAAATTCTGACATTTTTCAAATTAGTCACTAACCTATAGTTTGGGATGTTACAAGCTGGTTGGGTGCAGTGGGCGGCTGCCAGCTAGATTAGGGTTGACTCGGGTCGAGTCGGGTCGGATCTAGTTGAGCCCGAATCGGGTTTAGGGTAGTTATGTTTTGGGTTTTTGTATTTGGTTTTTAGTTGTATTTTGGGGTTTGGTAGTTGAACTTCGGGTTTGGACTTCCGAGTTGGGTTTAATTTGTTTGGGTTTGAGGTTTTGGTTTTGTAATGGGGTATGTTATGAGAAAAATGGTAATTACACAAGGACAATGTTGTTTGTTCACATCTTTTATTTTCCTAAGTTATTTGGTTAGATTTTAACCGTTTTATGTATGCTATTATTTTCATTCTTTAATGTCTAGTTTGTGATTTTTGATGATTTTATAATAGGATTAGTATACTTTAACTTTTTGTAGGCTTATTTTTTTAATTTTAATTTTATTATATTTCTTATTTATATATTAAAATATTTTCTTATTAGTTTAATATATATATTATTTCTATGTAGTTGTAGAGATTATATTGTTGTAATAAATATATATTTGTATTTAGTTGTAGAGATTATATAGACAAATGAATTATTACTCAAAATCATTTTTCATTTTGTGCCACTCATGGTCTTAATAATGATATTATTTAGTACCTTTTGACATTGCAAAGGTGTAGGAAAAGTTGGATATTTGATGAGGTTTTCCATACGTAGGGACCTAGTAGCATTTTTTTAGTCTAGTTGTTCGGCTAAGCAATCAGAACGCGTCTGTAAGTTGATTCTGATCAAAAGCTTCTATCATATTCTTGTAAAATCTTCATGAATATTCATTTTCCATTGTTAAACATCTGATTGTTGAAAATAATAATTGACTTTTGCATCCATAATCAATGTGCTTATCTCAAGATTACGCTAACACTGCAAAGGGTTCTCCTTGGATAGGTTTGAACCATCAACGAATCTATAAATATTTTTTAGGGTGATCACACATATATATTAACAACAGAAAAAGTTTATATGAGATGACAAAAATAAAATTTTAAGATAAATACAAATAGTAAAATAAGTAATTATCTAAAAAATATCCGGGTTGAGCCGGAAACTGATGCAACGGGTAGGAAAGCAGTGTGTGGGAAACACATACAACCGATTTGACCAGAAAAGGAAAATTTTTAGCGCAACAATCCGTTGTAGTCTAGTTGGTTAGGATATTCAGCTCTCACTCGAGAGACTCGGCTTAACATCCCGGCAACGGAAAATTTTTGCTTGCTTGGTCAAAATAGCCATACAATTTACTCGAACAAAATGGATTATCAACTTAGAGGTTAATCGGGTTAGGCCGCCATTGTTTTCAGTTCACCACGTAACGATTATTCTTTACTTTTCATGTGATCATCATCAATCGCCAGGCGCCAGCATTCATATAGATGACATTTCGTGCTCTTTGAAACAATAAAATCATGACACACTTGAATTTAATTGAACATTATCTTGAGAGTTGAGAGCGGATCAACACACCCCGTCCTAATATTTTAGATAATTCCTTCTGCTGAATTAATATTAGCTGTAGCAAAAAATATAAGTTATTTTCTCAGACATTCAAATGACGCAGTATTCATCAATGTATAATCTTTCTCCGAAAATTGTGCTTTTACTGGAAAACTTGAACAGTAAAGTGTTTCACGTTCTTCTGATTCATCCTGCTGTGTGAATTATTTCCAAAATCCGTAATCATCATCAACTACACATAACTCTATCCTCAGCGCCGCCAGAGCCGACCTTGCTGCTTCTGCTCTTGCTTTCGCCTGTGTCATCAAGGGTCGGGGCTCAGAATGATTGCCATTGGATGATATATTAAAGTGGATGTGATTAGCAACATTATCATCAAGCATAAAAATGGCATATTGAAGACAGTTTCTACATAACAATACACAAATTAAGAAAACTACTTCACCTCTGATACTCTTTAGAGCGCTCAAGGAACTCTTTTGCAATATCTTTTCTTTCATAAGATTGCAATACTTGTCTGATATCAGCCGGACTATTGCGGGCTATATCTGTGGACAAATCAAAACAGATGGTAATACAATCAACAACTATAGTAACCATTTAAACAAAATGCTATTCAGGTGAGACTCTTTTCATCAATGATGAACCCTAACAACTACACTAGTTAGCATAGATGGCACATAAAATTCTAACAAAGGAGACTAGCAGAGGGAAAAGCAACAACATAAGACTTACATTCAAGGAATGGAATAAGATCCAAAAGTGCTGTATCATCAGTGTCGAGCTTATAAGGTTTAATAGGGACACAATTTTCTGGCTGAAGGCTAGAATCGAATGCATGAGCACTCACATATAAAATCTTGGCTGGATCCCTGTTTAGCTTTGAAAGATCCTGCCATCACAAAATATTTATTAACAAGAATACTAATTCCAAATTAGCTGCTCTTACAATTGCTGTCCCATTAATTGATACTCATAGTATCACAGAAACTGAGGGGAGATCAAAAAAAGAAATGTTTTGAAGGAAATTGATCAACTATAACATACTCTATGATGCTTGCCATCCTGATATTTAGTATCACCCCTTGATAGCCTATACCGTATGTAATGGTTAGCATCCAACCTTTCACAAACAGGATCGACATACTGAAAAGGCAAAAACAAACAAATAAAATTACTTGCTGGCATATTTATGTATTTAAAATGATAGTTGCAATGGAAATGATCAAATTACCATATTCATCTGGTCAGAATAGACGACAATTTCATAGAACTTTGCCAGATGTTCCAAAAAGGCATCAACTCCAGGCCTTTTGAAGGTACGCCAACCTCTCTCTCGCTTTGCCAACCAAAAAGGGAACATTTTAGATTCTATGAAGGAAAATGGGAAACAATTTGAAGTTAAATTCTTACCTTCCAATCTGTATAAAGTAACGTCTCATTCAGATCTAGGACAAGTGTAAAAACATGCTGTTCTAGAGGATGCAAATCAGGGAGAAGCTTATCTGAAGTTGGTTCAGTATACTCCTGAAATACAAGATAAACGTACATTATTTAAAAAAAGTAGTGCTAAAATAAAGAAGAAAAATACAATAGGGATTCAAGTGAAAACAACAGAAAGAAGAACACTCACCAGCAAATGTTCTTCCACTAACCTCCTGAGATCCAGATAAGATTCAAGTGCTTTTGCTGGAACTGAAATGTTAGAAACAAATAATCCGCAAGTAAATGGGGTGGAAGCAGAATACGTAAGCAAGTCAATCATTGAAAAACTTAATAGTAAAGCAGCCCAAAATTTTAAAAGCAACATTTCCGGGCACGAAATTAGAAATGCAAATTTAACTCCCTGTCATGCAAATATATCATTCTAATGATTAGGTTAGCATACAGAAGAAACAGATAAACATTAAGAGATAGATAAACATAGTAAGGTCCTCACCTGCCATAGAAGCAGAGTAGAGCAAGCATCGATATTTCTGAAAACAATACCAAAAACAAAATATTATTACTTACATATCTGATTTTTTTCCCGTAGGATTCAAACAAACTAACTAAACAACAGCTATATCATATTTATCAAGATTTAGTTGAGGTATCACAAATGTGCATTCAAATACTAGAGGACATTAACATACATACTTACATAAAAGACATCGATGTATTTCTTGCATTACAGCAATTGATCATAAAGGATGACCTGGGGGCTCAATGATCAATCAAATTATACCTAAACCATCTATATGTCTTAAGCAAATTCTCCAGTAAACAAACAACTAAAGTAAATGGAGAAAATTATTTAAAAACAATCAAATTCTAAAAAAAATCAAACTCACATCAATAGCAGATGCATCTTCACTAGGAGTATAACTCGCTGCAGCCCGCAATGCCTTTGTTTTATGATCTACTTCCTCGCATGAACACTCTGCAAATCAAATTAACTTCTTTAAATAAAGGGATTTTTTTTTAATCTTATAAAACCCCACATACAAAGATCAAAAATTAAATCACAAATGATACGATCCTCTTTCAAGGAGAACAAAAGAAAAAACTTACTATAAGAGAGATAACCAGCATAACCAGTAGTTCCCGTTACGGCTGCGATGAGTCCGTACTTGAGAAAGGTCCAAGATTTCCTTCCAGAAACCTCTGGGGAAGTTTCCGGCGCCGTCGGAGGAGGAGGCGACTGATCGGAGAGAATGGATTGAGAAGAAATTAAGGTTTCTTTGGAAGGATTCGAAGAAGATGAAGAAGAAACCACTCCTGAACATAAACCCCTTCGAAAAATGCTCTTAGAACTGCAATTATTTGAAATTGTTCGAGATCTTAGAACAATCGAAGACATTTTTATTAAAGCTTTTTGATTTGGTGATGTTTTGATCGATGGAGATTTTGATCATTGTTTAGGGTTTTACAAACCGTTAATGAGCGGTGAATTCGACATGTGGGGTTTAAGGGAATGTTTGGAAGCTGGTGCTCAATAATTCTGATTGGAATCTACCATGGGGTAGGAGAATTGGCTGTTTGGTGGCCGAGTTAGGTTTTTCTTTTCTTTTCCATATCATCATTTAATCATAAAGCAAAAGGTTTTCATTCTTCTATAATTTTATTTTATTTTCGTAATATAACATAGTTGAGCATCTAAATTATCGTTTTTCATAATTAAAAAAATACTAACAGTCTATTTAAAGAATATATTTTTTAATAATTAATTATTTAAAAAATAATTTTCAAATGAATGATTATTTAATCATTTTAATGTTGTCTGATAACCAAATTATAGTTAACAATATTAATCATATAATTCGGATCGATCAATATGACATCGTCGATTTGATTTTAGATTAGATCGGATTATTTCATTGTCTTAGACTCAAAATGAGATATATCTATCAAGACCTTCAATTGTTAACAAAGCTATTCGGCTATTGAATACAACAAAGTAGTTTAGGATTGAAAAGAAAATTAGATGATGTTAAGGGTAGTTTTGTGGTACAATATAATAATTTAAGGTTAATAATTACATAAATAAGCACAATAAAAATGAAACATTTTAAACATTTTAAGTTAGACGCAACTTAAAATATTATATTTTCACAACATTTTCTGTAATTCATAGTTGAATGAAAGTCGGGTCTAAGGACTGAGACATCATAGCATTAGTTCACTAAATAAATTATGTTCATTATCCATGGAATATATCTTTAACGATTATAAATAAAATAAAATAAAATATTTAAGCAATCTATAACATATCATAATAAATATATTTTTTAAAATCATCATATTAATTAATACGTTGAGACTTTAAAAAACACATATATGTGTAAATAAAAACGTGATTATAATTTTATGTTTAAAATTTAGTGATTTATTATAGTTTACTTGAATATAATTAAAAGAAAATGATTTATATGTCATATATGATATTAATTTAGACACACTGAAGTTAGAGAATCAGAGGTTATTATAAATAATTCTTAATCTTATAAATATTATAGCACGTGAGGGTGTCTAAATCGAATCACTAATTTCATGCATTGTATTGTAAAACATATATGTTCTTAAAAATTATATTCTTATATGTATATCTAATTAAATGTTTGATACGAATATTGAATATAAATATTCTGAAAATTTTAAATCTGAATTACATTAATTACACCCAACCCTAAAATAAGGTGGAAATTTGAAATATCAAAAGCGACTTAAAACTACCACGTTAATGCAAAGCATTGACGTGGCTTTCGTATCAGCCAATGCATACAATTTCTTGCAGGAAAAGGCGTTAATTAAAAAAAAACCTTAATAAAACCTACAGATATTTCCCATGTAACTTTCTCGATACAATTTATGCAAATACTTTATGGCCTCTTCATATGTATGTATAAATACCACCATTTCCTTGCAGTAAAGCTTTGAGTTATCAATGGCTCTCAGATGGCTCCTCAGTTCTGCGTTTACTGAAGTTTTCGGCCACACCGATGGCGGTGACTTGCACACCAAGGCAGTGGTATCATGCCGTAATGAACTTATCAATGGAGATTTAAAATGCTGCAAGGAGAGGGAAAGAGGGGTTACCAGCGTCAAAACCAGCAAAGAAGATTACCCAAATGGCTTCCAAATGCCGGTTCATTATCCTCGATTCTCGAAGACAGATTTCGAGAAGATGGAAGAATGGAGAATCGACATGTTGTTGAAAGAATATGGATTCGGCTTTAATGGCAGCACCGTGGATGAGAAGAGGGCATTTGCCATGGGAGCTTTTCTTTGGCCTGATCAACTTTGATATGTATAAGTTTTATTTGCTAGATTGTGTCACGTAATTAGTTTTCCTTTGTGAAGAAAGTCTTTGCATAAGGGATGCTTTTATGCTTGATAATTTTGATGTGTGCTAAGCATTATTTGTATTAAAAGTATGTGTTTAATTAGCTAATCTTCATTTAACAAAAAAAGAAGAAGAAGAAGAAGAAGAAGCTAATATTGTTATAGTTATTTTCATAATCTTGTATTGTATCTTTTGAGATTTGAGAAAATTTCCTTTCGGCACAATAAAAATCGTAACCGCTTATAGAATAAAAATATTAGGAGCATTATAATACTTTATCTTGAAATATATATAAAGAGATTATAGTAATTATGTCAGTTGAGATATTTTTTTATCCTAAATATGATCTGAACTCTTTTGTTTACAAAATTTACCTAAAATTTATTTTTCTAATAATTATATAATATTAAATCAAGTCAAAACTAATTGAATTTGAATAATTTAATTGTCTCTCCTTATATATATGTTCAATGATACTCTCAATCATTTTACATTTAACATTATACTTTTGGCATTCATGATGCTCAAACCTAAGATCTCAAGGAATAACAATAATTATTTTACTATCGATGTCGCTTAGTTCGTGCTTATATATAGGGTTATGATCCACTTACATAAAACACTTAATTATATTACGTGTAATTCCATCCTCCCCATATATATATATCAAATTCAGTTCATTGTGAAATATGGAATCTTTTACCAGCAAATTAGTAGCTTCCATGAAACAAATAATTTACTCGGGTCTTACAAAAAAAAAATGTTGAACCATGTTTTATAATATTTTGATATAACAAATTAGGGCAAAATGTTTTTGGACTTGATTGAATTTATTCAAAGTTTTCAAAAATAATTCAAAGTCCTTTAAACTATAATTTGAGCACAAAATTATTTTTCTAGGTACTATATGAACAGTATCGATACTGTTTATGTGGTACCAATACCAAAGTTAAGAGAAGTGTCGATACTCTCTAAGTAGTATCGATACTACCAGTTGTTTTCAAAATGCTCAAATTTCAGAATGCAAAATAGGTACTGATACTCAAAGGGGTACCGATACTACTTTACACAGTATTATCCATACCATGAAGCATAATATCGATACTGGGCAAGCCCAACAACCTTTAATGACTAGTTTATTTAAATATTATAAAGGAAATACCGATACTCATTAAAGGAGTACTGATACTCCCTGGTCTAGCAGTTTTATTTTGCAGAAAATTAGTCTCCAACAGCTAGAAACGACCACAAACTCATTCCAACATATAAAAATAAGTTGAGAACACTTGAAGAATGTTAAGAACACCTATCCAAGCATTTATACACAAGAGAATAACTTTTAACTCTTTATTTTCTTTCTCTTGTAAATATTAGTGTTTTAGTGAGTTTAATTTTGTAAACACATACCTTGTGAGGTTTTCTTATTTACAACTTTTATTCCTTTGTAAAAGGGGAGCGGTTCTATCTTAGCCATTAAAAAGACAGGGATTTGTAAATGTTATCTTTTTGTCTTGTAAAAAGAAAGAACAAATTAGTGAATTTGTTAGAAAATCCTAAGGATATAGACTTGGTTGAGAAGTCAAACCACTATAAATCATTGTGCATCATTTTTCTCATTCTTAAATCTCCTTAATCCCTATTTTTTTTATATCCACTTCAACCCCTCTTGGCAAATATTTCAGTTGATCATTTTGAGCTTCATTGAAAATCTCAACAATTGGTATTAGAGCTTGACTCATTAGAAGGTTTAACAACCTTGAGACGATCCTTGAAGAAGCTTTATCCATTTCCGACACAACCGAGAAGATGACTTCCACCTCTGGCTCGTTCTACATGGAAGACTCACAACTGATCGACAAGCATCCATACTTCAATGGAGCCAATTAACGTCATTGTAAGAAATTAATGAAGATATTCATCCAATCCAATGATCTTGATGCATAAGAGATGATTGAGAACAATTACTCTTATCCAAAGAAGAAGACGAAGGAGTGAAGTGCCCAAAAACGAAAGAAAGCTCAACATAATGCCAAGGCCATGCACATGTTGTTTTGTACATTTGGTCCCGATGTCTATGAAGGAGTTTCTTCTTGTTCAAATGCCAAGGAGCTTTGAAATAAGCTCGAGGAAATCCATGGAAACAAGAAAGAAGAACCAAAGGTGGTGTGCTTAATGGCTCTTGAAGAGCCCAAGGTAGCTTCTAACTCAAATGAATTCAATTAATATTCTTTTGATGAGTTACAAGATGCCAATAATGAGTTGTATTATGAATTTGAGACCATAAATTCCAAATATAATAAATTAATTTCAATATTTAAAGTTGAAAATGATTTGATTTTGAAAGCAAAAGTTGATTTTGAAAAACAAAATGAAACTTTGAAAAATGATTTAGAGCTTTCAAAAATCAAAATCAATGACTTAGAAAAAAATTGATTTGAAAGTTAAGCTTGAAAGCTTAACATAAGAAAAAAAATTCTAGAAACAACTCATTACGTTTAAAAATGGCAAAATGCTCATATTGTCATTTTCATGGTCATTTGGAACATACTTGTCCTTTAAATAAAGGAAAAAGTTTTAAAATTAAACAAGTATGAGTTTCAAAAGGAACAAGGGACATTGAAACTAACGTTCAAGGATCCAAAGCAATTTGGGTACCAAAATCCAAATAAATGCCTCTTATAGGTGTGTTGGAGCAATGATGATAAAGGTAAATGATTTCAATTGCTCTTGTCACACAAAAGAAGAATGGGTAACCTTTAACCTTAAAGCATTTTGATTTTGTAAATTGGATGCATATTGATTTTTATATGTATGTATGAGTATTGAGCATGAATGATAACTTGTTATTTTATATCTCATGTATGTTGAAAATATGTTATGATGAACATTCATTTTTAAAATGATTTTTATAAAATTCTATTTCATCATAATGTTTGTGTTTGGTTAAGTTGTATTTAATTTTTTTTAATTTTTTTCTTGACCTTAATTTTTTTTAAAATATTTATGCATATGATTTATTGCAAATGATATCTCTCTAACAATTGATATCAATTTTTCAAGTGCATAACATTTTTGGATAGCTTTATGCTGATGCACTTAAATATAACATTTGGTATTGCATAAAGTATATTTGACTTATATTTAATGAATTTCATGTGCTACTAATGTGGTTTCTTTCTTATCTCATTGAAATTCAACATTCTTTTAAGTGTTAAACTTTTGTGTCAAACGTTTTCTTGGAATGCATTTATTGGGGGAACTTCGATTTTTCAAATGATTTTAATTTTAAAATTATTACTTACTCTCCATTGTTATTTTGTACCTTAAAAGTTTGAATTATTTTTTATATAACAAAGGGGGGAGAAGTATAGGTTAGAAAAATTTAATTTCTCAATGAAAAAAGGGGAGCTTTAATATTTTTCAAATATTTCTCTTTTTCATTAAATGTTTTATTAAGGGTGAATTTTCTTAAAACCAAGTTTTTCAAATATTTTGTTATATAAAAAAGTGACATTGTTGAACCATGTTTTATTATATTTTGATATAACAAATTAAGGCAGAATGTTTTTGGACTTGATTGAATTTATTCAAAGTTTTCAAAAATAATTCAAAGTCCACATTAAACTAGAATTTGAGCACAAAACTGTTTTTCTAAGTACGTAGTACCAATACTGTTCTTACAGTATCAATACTGGTCAAGCTCAACGATCTTTAACGACTATTTTATTTAAATATTATAAAGGAAGTACCGATACTCCCTGGTCTGGACAATTTTATTTTGAAGAAAAATAATCCTAACGGCTCCAAAACATCCCCAATAGCTAGAAACGACCACAAGCTCATTCCAACATATAAAAACAAGTTGAGGAACTTGAAGAAGGTTATGAACATATGTCCAAGCATTCATACACAAGAGAAGAGCTTTTCACTCTTTATTTCATTTCTCTTGTAAATATTAGTGTTTTAGTTAACTTAATTTTGTAAACACCTATCTTGTGAGGTTTTATTGTTTACATCTTTTATTCTTTTGTAAAAGTGGAGCGATTCTATCTTAGCCATTAAAAAGATATGGATTTATAAATGTTATCTCTTTTTCCTGTAAAAAAAAGAATAAATTAATGAATTTGTTAGAAAATCCTAAGTGAGAAGCTTAAGTAGTGGATGTAGATTTGGTTGAGAAGTATAACCACTATAAATCCTTATGCATTAATTTTCTCATTCTTAAATCTACTTAATCCCTAATTTTTTCTCAAATCCACTTCAACCGCTGGCACATATTCCTGTTGATCAATTTGAGCTTCATCTAAAATCCAACAAAAAAAACCCCTAAATCGGGTGTTTAGGGAAGAAGGCAACCATTACATATCACAAGTAATGATGAAATTCAACCCTTTTTTCTCCTCTGCCATGGCTAACAAGTTTGCATCACTTTCAGAGGAAACGAGGGGGTTCCATAATGAAGCATGTAATGCAAGCAATAATAAAAATTGAACAAAAAAACATGATATAGTGTGGGATCAACTCGATTTTGCAAAATATATTTTCATGGCTTGGCATTAATGGTTCTAAAAATGGAACCCAGCCAGTTCAACAACAAACGGGTTGATTCATCGGTTCAACTATATACATTAAATCATTTTATTGGAGATCGAATGATATTTTTTAATAGTACATGTAGTGATTATAAGATAGTATTTGTTAAGAATTTTTTAATTAATTTACAACGCACACACATCCTGTAGATAGTAGTGGAGCCACATATTGTTCTCAATTTTCTTTAGTTAGTTACTTATTTTAATGGTAGTGTACATTCTGAAATTTTATTTATGTTCATTCTATTCAAAATTTTTATGTTGTTAATATATGTGTGTCAACCCTCATAAATATTTCCGGATCCGCCGTTGCTTGTAGACGTAGCTGTTCAAATCAAAATCTCTAAAAAGAACAATATTCTATTTTATTATTGAAATTGCTTGATGGATCCGATTAAATGATTTTTAAATGTTTAAGTTATATTTTCTTTTAATTTTTTAATAAACGGACGAGAGATTATCAAGGATCAAATTTAATATAAAGTATCATTTAAAATTATACTGACAGATGTAAAATTTAAAATTTTTAGTAGGTGATTGTCCTAATCATCCCTTTGATCTATCATTGTCATTAACTATAAAAGATCAAAATCATTCACACTGTCATAAAAATACAAATAACAGTAATAATATGTTAATAAACTCTCTTCATCACAATTTAATCACAGCATACCTTTGGTGATTACAAGTAGGGATGTGCATAGGTTAAGTTTAGGTTGGGTTTTGGCCAACCCGACTCAACTCGAATCCGACCCAATTTTTTGAGATAAAATTTTAACTCGATCCGAATCGACACGAAATAATAAAAAATATTATTTTTATTTAATAAAAACAATGATTTAATTGAAAAATAATATATAGAGAATATTATTGTAATTATTCCTAAAATATAAGGTAAAATTATTTTTTTCGGGTCAAGACATGTCGGGTATTTTTCACTCTATACCTAAATCTAACCCGACCCTAAACTTTTTTAAAAAAACCTAATCTGATCGGGTCGAAACCTGTTGAGTTCGGGTCTGAGTCCTATGCCCATCCCTAATTACAAGCGCTTACTATAAAAGAGAATCAACTTGATGTCTCAAGATAAATCAACAAAATAACTAAATAAACATTAATTGAAGAGGTAACATCAAATTTAATCCTGAAAAAAATATAAAATATTTTTTATAATCTGAGTATTTATAAAGTAATATATATTTAACTTTTTTAATTTTTTGAGAACGCATACACACCTTACAAATACAACTGCTTAAATTTAAAAATTTTAAGAATAATAATTCTCCCATTTATCATTTTTAAATGCGAACGTGAATCATTTTGTTGTTACTTGTTTATGAATTTTGTCCCACCTTTCAATTGATCGCCACGTATACGATCCATTTATCAATCCTATGAAATGGGTAAACACTTAGCCAAAGGGTAGATAGCTAGAAAGTTCGAAAGCATCAAGTAAATGGAATTTTCAACCCCTTACATATGCCAACTTTTCAATTGGTACAAATCACATGAATATTTGAAGTTTGGTTCACTTGACTTAAAACTTAAATTTAAATATTATTAATACATGAAATGTTAAAAATATATTTGAAAAATTCAATTAATGTTACATTCAAGTCTAAGCAATTTGATTCCTCTATAAAAGGGCAGTCCCCTTGGCTTCTCAGCCTTGCAACCTACCAAACATAGATTTCTCACCACTCATTACATTCTTCCATTTTCAATTTCAAAAATGGATGGAACAGAAAAGCAGAAGCAATCACTGAGTCAGCTCATAACTCAGTTCCAGAGAAAACCGAGTCTGTTTCTTCTCTCAGTTCCAGTTGTTTCCTTGTTTCTATCTCATCCATATTGGTTTCCTTTCCTCTACTCCTTTAACTCCACCTTACATGATACACTTGCTTTCAAGCTCTTTAGCCATAGTATAGATAAGAACATCGTATTCCTTCTTTGCAATGGACTCCTTGTTTTCCTTGTAAAATACCCTGGAGTCACTTCTTCATCAAAGCATGATCTTAGTGAATGCGTTCCTCGAACTCACCCAACTCGTTTGCAGCCCGAAACACCATTGTTGGAGAAGGAAGGTGCCTTGGAAAACAGTTCAGTGAAGGAAGGAAAACAAGAAGAAGAAGAAGAAAATGCTGGTTTTCTCGAAGAAGATAAAGAAGATCAGTTAAACTGGTCAATTGAAGAAGAAGAAGAAAGTGAAAGGTACGAGCCAGAAGAAGAAGAAGAAAGTGAAAGGTACGAGCCAGGAGAAGAAGAAGAAAGTGAAAGGTACGAGCCAGGAGAAGAAGAACTAATGGAAGGAAATAAAGCGTTGAGTACTGAAGAACTGAACAAAAAGTTCGATGAATTTATTAGAAAGATGAAGGAAGAATTAAGGATCGAAGCTCGACAACAATTAGTCATGGTTTAATCATCATCTTGAAATCATTATGGAGAATCAAAATCTCCATAATGTTCATATAGCTTCCATATTTGTAAAATCTTTAGTATATCTCCCCCCCCCCCTCCTCTTTTTCTCCTATAGACTATAGTTTTATACATAATCGGCAGTAATGGTAGTTTTAATAGTCTAGACCTGTCATCAATTGAAGGGAAGATGGTTGGCTTTGGATTGGCTCAATTCAAAACAGATTAATTCGTGTTTAAATTTTTATTAAGCATTTCTAATTTAAATTACTTTTAAATTCAAGTCATTTCAAGTTCGATCATTCAAGTTTATCCATTGAACAATATTAAAATTCATGCTCCATTTGCAAGGAAATGCACTAATACTTATCCATGTAGCTGGAATAACATTTGTCCCAACGAGATGCATGTTCATATATGATCAAAATTCAAAGAGTTGATAACCTAATTTTCTGGAAAAATTGATCCATGTTTAAAGAGAAATAAAAGATTAAGTTCATGAACTGATTTCGAAGATAATCAAACAATCAAAAATCAGGTTACTTGTCGAGTGAGTCGATCGCGAGTTTAGTAGCGTTCGACTCGTGGTCGTTAAATAAATTTATTGTTCGACTCGACTTGACGCGTTGCTAGTTAAGATCGCAAGAATTATTATCTTATTTTTAATTATATGTAAAATCTAGTAAACTAATAATTTAGTATCTTTATTCTCGTTTATTAGAAAATTAATAAATTAATAATTTAGCATCTTTCTTATTATCTATAAGTAAATTAATAATTATTAATTAGACTTTCTTTTTTTAATATAATAATTTTAAGGGAACTACTAAAATATTAAAAAAACAATTAATGAACTACTTAAGAACTTATCAAATGAAGGTGGACCTTGCTCGATTCAACTTATTAAAATATCGAATCAAGTTCGAGTTTAAATCGAGTCAACTCGAATTAAATGTTAATTCAAGTTCGAATAGCTCACAAACTACTCAACTCATTAAATAATCTAAATTAAAACTAACCTAATGATACAGAAAGAGATACTCTGAAGCCACTATTTATTTTATGGTTCCTGTCCGATACGAGGTCTTTTCAATTTCACTTCTTGCATTTATATTAAATAAAACTATGAATGAATCCATTCATCTTTGAAAGGTTGAAATCAAACCAAATCAGTGTTGATAGAATACCATGAAAATTAGTGTTGATCGTTAATGTTTGCATTGAAGCTGGCTGGAACCAAATAATTGGCTCTAAGATGGGCATTAATGACAACTAACCGACTACATCCGTGCCATAACACCGTGTTAGATACGGATACTGTTATGCTCCAAAGTTTATCTTCTCCGTAATTACTAACAAGTTAAAAATGAAAATTCATGGGAGATCACAACGTGTTAAGTTGGGTCGGATTAGATTTTTAATCTATCTTAACATAATTTGAGATGAAATTTTTCACCTGTATCCGATCTAATCTAAGTTTAAAAGGATCTCGTCTAAATTGAAATTTGATCTGATTTTTTAAGTTAAAATCCGTATTTAACTTAAACATGATATATATATATATATATATATATATATATATAAAGTTGGGATCTTCTTCCATATTGTAAATCTCATTTAATTTTGCATAAATTTAGAATCATTGGATGAGTAAAACTATATGGTTGAGATTAATTCGCTTTACTCATCTAACGATCTTACATTTGTGTAAAACTCTTATAATTTTACATTATGTAATAGGATAATATAAATATAAAATTCATTTTTATTAGGTAAAATACAAATTTGATTGAAAAAATAAAATAGAAATGAGTATTATTTCAATAATCCATAAATACATAAAAGATAATATAATATTATGTCAGATTGTGTCGATTTTTTCACTCTAAACACAAACCATTTCCGGTCACACTCTAGAAAGACTCAACCTATTTGAATCTGAATTTTCAAAATAAAAGATCAATTCGATCAGGTCGAATCAAATTGAAATCCGTCGATTCAGGTAAAATTTCTATCCCTAAACAAAACATAGAAATGAAATCCAGATTAGCATCCTCACAATTAGGGACATAAATAGAAATTTATATCAATAAATATAAATTTAAGAAGTTATATTATAAATTTCATATATATAAAATTAAGTTAATAAAAAAAATATTTAAATTATATAAAATTTAAGAATTTTAAAAGTGTGATCGTACTTCTAATACCTTCTATTTATCTTTTTTTTAATTAATTATTGGTGTCTGACTTATTGACCGATTAATCCATATTGGATTTTGTAGAGTCCCAATTTAGAGATGACTCTCTCAACTCAATTTGCTCCATTCACAAACATCAAAATTCAAATCTTTAATTTTGTTTAAGAAATATAATATTCCATCATATTAAACTAACCGGTTGTTGGTTCTCGATCTATCCTTTAGAATAATAGTAACGGTGTTGAAGACTTGAACTTGGCAGCCATTTAAACTGACACTTGTATATTACCTATTTCCACCGACTGATTTGAGTTGGAAGTGCAACTTTTTTGGGTCCAAAATAGAGCTTGCAACTTGATGGGGATGCACATATCACAATAAATCAATGTGAAGATACAAAAAAGGGGGATTTTGTTAGAAAAAAGACATAAGAATTTGTAATATTGCAGAGTTGAAAATAGGTTGGGATCTGTCTATCTGCAACTAACAGTGAAACAATGAGTAGAAAGTGACCGAAGAATCCATCATCTCTTTACACCTATGTGGCTACAAACTCAAGAGCTTTCATTTTCATTCACCCCTTTGTGGATCAACTTGTGTTTTTATTCACACAAATATCTGTACCAGTGAATGTGAAAGATCTAGAAAGGACCCCCTCTTCCCTTTGGGTATTAAGACTCGTTAACAATTACCAACTTTAACTATGTTCAAGCAAAATGAATTCTTTGCTTGTAAAAGTCCTGCAGATCATCGAAATGACGAAAAACCGAGATGTTTCTGCCGGCATGGCGATGAACTCGCTTTCGATCAGGATTCCGGCACCGATGTGAGCCATGCACGTGTGAAGTATGCAGAAAATATCATTCATTCATGGCTAATAATTGGAGTACTGGAATGCATGAATATCAATAATGGTGAGAATGCTATAGAAAACAATGGAATGGCCCATGAAAACTTGACCTATTCCATTGGACCGAAATAAAAGGAGCAAAAGGAATATCAATAATTTACATTCATTAACAAAAGTCTGTATGAATAAAAAAACAAAGCTTCACTTCTCATATCTATTTGCTGTACTGATCGCAGAATGTAAACAAGAAATCATAAACTGGTTCTATCTTCTACAGTTTTCTGTCGCTTCCAAATTCCAAATACAATTCAATACCAGATCTTCCTTGCTCTGTTACCGGAAAATGAAAAACAAAATCAAATCTCCTAAAAAAACATTTCTTTTTGCTATTAAAGTAACTCAATAAATTCAAGACGCGTATTATATTTTATTTTGATTAATCTAGAGTAGTATAAGGTAGTATCTGTTTAAATAATATTTCAAATGAAAAACAAAATCAAATCTCCTAAAAAAACATTTCTTTTTGCTATTAAAGTAACTCAATAAATTCAAGACGCGTATTATTATTTTATTTTTTGATTAATCTAGAGTAAGTATAAGGTAGTATCTGTTTAAATAATATTTTCAATCATTTGATATTGAACGCTCATATCTCTAAGCATTCATGGAGCTCGACTTCGGGACCTAAAAAAATAACAATAATTTATTTACCACTAAGGTTATTTAATTCATGCAACACTTGTATATTAGTATTATTTTTTTTATCGGACACTTGCATATTAAAACACTCAAATTCGGGTCATTTAATAGGAACAAGTCACCTATTATTACTAAGACTGGTTCAATATTTTATTAATTTTGAAGCTTTTATTTGTACGATAAATTAATATTTTAAAAGTTAAATTTAAATTCATATTTTTATCACTTTTGTTTAATAGTTTTAAATTGTATATATAAAAATTATATTTTAAGAATACTAATTTATTTTTTATTTATAAATACATGTAAATTTCTATTAATGTACATTTTAATAATTTTAAAAGAATAAAATAATTTTTGATGTATTTTGAAATGATCAATTAAAATATGTAAAATATTTAATATAAAAATTTTTCTCAAAATTTTTCACAGTTTACAATTTTTCGACCACTCCTAAGTACTCAAGATAGTTCGGTAGTTTGTCTCCTAGGATGCAACAACTAGATGATCAGCGTATAATAGAACAACTATAGAGATTAAGAGTCATGCCCTTGCATGCACCTATCACCTAAAACCAGAGGAGAAGAAAAGAGTTTTTGAGTTGTGTTTAACCTAGAAGGTTTACATAATATTTATAGAGTTTTGTTAAAAAATATAACAATCCAAGACGAAAAGGAAAGATAAGGGAAGATCTTATTAAAATAATCGAGAAGATCAATTTAGAAATAAATACATAATTTCATATTCACGGATTGGAAAAAAAAATTAAGGCCTATAGTTACACAGTTTTCTTAAGATAGATTTTCGGTCACTTCTCTGGTGCTTGAGGTTATTGATGTCTCCCATTATACAACAACTAGATGATCAGCTAAAGTTGCACTTTTGCCGAGATCACAGGCTATTATTTTGCCTTTATCTATCATCGAAAAACTAGAGGGAAAGAAAAAAATTCTTTTTGAGTTGTGTTTAACCTATTAGGTTTACACCGTATTTATAGGAATTTCACGTTGTAAATTATTGAATTTTTTTGACCTAATGAACCATTTAATTAATACGAATCAAGTAATTTCCAAAATTATTGTTTTGATTAAAATAACATTTTAATATCCTTTTAATTGTAAAATAAAATTAAAAAAAAGTATACTTTATTTGAGGAAAAATATTTTAATTATGGGTTAAAATACTCGCAAGCCAGCGAAAGGCTCGACCGATTCAGACATTCATGTTTTCCACGTTGTGCATATCTACACAGTTACGAACCAACAATTGGTTCCACGTTTTTCTCAACAACGTTTGGATCAATTTCTCATTCAAAACTCTAAAATTATCGATTTTTTCCAATAAATTTCATATAGAAGAAGAATTAGAAATAATATATTCTGAAATTAAGATCATTCATGAGTATCCAAAAAATTTTTAAAAATAAGCCAATAAAATCGTATGTGATCGAATATATATTCGTGAACTGCCAGAGAAAATTTTATTCGTAATGAATAAAATATTAGGCCCCTCTAAAATCTGAACAATTCAATGTCGCCCACATCGGGTAAGTGTACCCTCAATCTTGATGGATTCAACAAGCTTGGATTTGTACCCCAATACCTGGATGCAAGGTACAACTTCAATCAAAATCATTTAATGACTAACACGTGAGTCGGTGTATAAAAACACTTCATATGCTTGTTATCTTACAAACGTGAGATATGTGTTTTTGAGGTCCAAGTAAGTCATTGTCTTTAAGTTCATAATATATCGTCTATATAAATGCCTATTTATAGGCCTTTGAGGTATTTGTATAGTGAAAACTTTTTAGTAACAAGACAAATATAAATTTAAGCTTCAGTTGGGTTAATGTATATCCATGCTTCATTTGTATCTTTCACTGCACGTATAGATTTTTTTCTTCTTCTTTTATTATTTCCCTTATTAGTACTATGATCGTCAACAAATATTATTCATATAAGAAGACTATAACAAATGTTTCTGAATAATTTAACATCTTTGAAATATTTCTTCAAAGAAGATGAAATTTACATCCATTAATATGAATCAGTTTTTCAAGATTTATCAGAGACATGAAAGCACTCTTGGCTGATAAGGTTTACGTTGTCGATGTTTTAGGTATGTTTGAAAACAATCATGAAGAACAATTCTATGTTCAATCCGTTTTCCTCGTGACTTTTTATGCAATGCTATTTAATCAAACAGGGGTAATAATTTAAGTCATTGTAAGTTTAAATATTAAACAAATTAAGCATTGTTTTTTGAATTTTAAGTTTAAATAACTAATAAGTCATTATATTTTTTATTAAAAATTTGATATTTCAGCCCCTATCAATTTTCAATCGTGACTTTGTGACGAACAAACAAGAAGTTGTATATCTGGTTTATCAGTAACAGTCCTTTAAAATTCATATCATCCTGCAATTGTATACAAGCAGTTTTGGAATGGGATCCACCTCCAACAGGAACTGTTAAGTTCAATGTGGATGGGGCACCTATCAACGGGAGATATTAGAGCTATATTTTCGAGTCCAGTTTCTGACCCCGGACCCGAGTTTACGGAACTAATCACAATCAAGACTGCATTGCAAGTCTTCAAAGAGGCAGACTAGATAAGTAAAGCATCTGTTTTGGTAGAGTCAAATTCTCAAGTTGTCCTAAACTGGATCGCCTTTATATCAACGAGGTCGTGGAAATACTGGAATGTTTTTGACGAAATCAAGAGAATGAGAAATTTCATTACTGCAGTTTACGTATGTATCAAGAACTCAAAATGGTATGGCGGATCACCTAACAAGAGAAGGAATGTTAAGGGTTGAACTTTTTAAGGCATGGTGGTGAGGAGTTATATCTCGAAGAGGTGTGCTCTGTTTGGATTTTGCAGCTTCTGTAGCACTTTGTCTATACTTTTCTGGTTTTTTATATTATTCTGGTATGCAGAGCGATCATTGCTTTTACTTAGAAAGGAGGATGATAATTCTTATGTTTGTGGAAATAATACAGGAAGATGATAATTTCGTTATTTTTAAAATATTAATGGAGAAAATAAAAATTTACTCATACTTTAGTGACCCATTTGAAATAATTTACCCAAAATATTCCCTTCTGACTCCGAGTTCCATTCCAAACTTGTTTATGGGCTAACAAAATCTGCAAACTCTGGAAACAGCCAAACCAGGCAAGAACTCGTGTCATCAACTAACTGGTCTTTCTTTCAAGCTTTCTTCGGTTTTAAGCATTGTGATTCAGCCGCCACAATGGCGCCCGTAGGAACCACAGGAGGCGCTTTTGTCGCTGCAACTGCTTCCTTCTCCATTTCCATGGCCGTCTTCTCTTACTTCCTCTTATTCAAAAAGATTACTTCAACCCTTCATTCCAACAAGAAGAAAAAGCCCAGAACTGGAGTTTTCGATGCCATTGGCAACACCCCTCTGATTCGTATAAACAGCCTTTCTGAAGCTACTGGCTGTGAGGTTACTTTCAACCCTCTCTTGAATTTATTTCATTTTTCATGTTTAATTCTATCTTTATATTCAGATTTTGATAAACGGGTTTCCTATAACATGTCTCTTAACTGGAGCTTTTTTGTTTGAATTTGTGATTTTGATCTTCACTGCCTTTGTCCCCCCCCCCTCAATGTTATTAATGTTTAGCCTTCAAGTTACTGTTTTTGTCTGATTTTGAGATCAGAGTCTTTCATTTTTTTTCTGTGATTACTCAATCGTTTTTTATGGATTTGAATTAAATTGATTACTTCAATTGCTTTAAATTTGTTCTTTTTTCTTTTATGTTCTCAGATTCTGGGGAAGTGTGAGTTTCTGAATCCTGGAGGAAGTGTGAAAGATAGAGTAGCTGTGAAAATTATTGAAGAGGTAATATATATATATATATATATATATATATATCAGTTCAGATTGGTCATATAAATGAGAAAAAATCAATCTATAATGCACTTTATATTATACTTCTTGTTTCATATTGAAAGCTTGCATTCGAAATATAGCACTTTTAACCATGGAGGAGTACCGAATCCTTATGTTTATGGATAAGAAGTGTCTTTGCATGTTTTTCAGAATTTGGGGATTTTATGCTCATAATTGTAACTATTGCTTATGTTCATGTTCAACTCTTGCCATGTCTGTTTATTGATCGGTCTGTTTTCTGGTACAATATAGGCTCTCGAATCAGGTGATCTAGCTCCCAGTGGAGTTGTCACCGAATGGAGTGTGGGGAGTACCGCGATTAGCCTCGCAACGGTAGCTCCTGCCTTTGGATGCAAATGCCATGTAGTCATCCCAGATGATGCTGCTATCGAAAAGGTGTGTAAAATACACTGCGGATGAGCATATCCAAAATTTCTTCTCTATATTTTCTTTGAAATTGCAGCATAATTTGACTTTATTGCCTCTTGCAAACTTCTCTTAGTCTCAAATACTCGAAGCATTGGGAGCGACTGTTGAAAGAGTAAGACCGGTATCGATTACGCATAAAGACCATTATGTTAATATCGCTAGGAGGCATGCAGTAGAGGCAAATGAGTTAGCAGCAAAGAATAAAAAGGCCAGCCAAGTTGATGGAAAAGACCGGGATCAAATGGATGGTCGCACGCCTGACCAGGAGAAAGAAAAACCGAGTTTCTTGAGTCTTTGTCATGGTGGTTTCTTTGCTGATCAATTTGAAAACTTGGCAAACTTCAGGGCCCACTATGATGGTACCGGGCCGGAGATTTGGGAGCAGACTGGTGGCAGTCTAGATGCATTTGTTGCAGCTGCAGGCACTGGTGGTACCGTGGCTGGTGTTTCGAAGTTTCTCCAGGTAGAAATTTTAGCTTCATTTCAACCACTTGTACATATTTATACGAGGGACTAATGTAATTCATGAATGTCGGACAGGAGAAGAGTCCAAAAATCAAGTGTTTTTTGATAGATCCTCCTGGTTCTGGTTTGTTCAATAAGGTAACTAGGGGAGTCATGTACACTAAAGAGGAAGCGGAAGGACAGAGACTTAAGAATCCATTCGACACCATAACAGAAGGGATCGGAATCAACAGAGTGACTAAAAATTTCATGATGGCAAAGCTTGATGGGGCATTTCGAGGCACGGATAAGGAAGCTGTTGAAATGTCCAGGTCTATCTGTCATATTTTATACTTGCTCTAGCTTTTGTATTTTCATTCCCAAACGTACAAGCTGATTTATTTCAGTTTCATACATATCTCCTTAAGACTTATTTATGTTGAGTCTGATATGAAACGATTAGAAAGCAGTCTTGGCAGGCACCTCACACGAATTCTTTTGTGGTTTGGAATGTATGCTTGGATTGTGAGCTGTAATCTTTTATCTGCTTGACATTTCAGGTTCCTTATGAAGAATGACGGGCTCTTTCTTGGAAGTTCTTCGGCCATGAACTGCGTTGGAGCTGTTCGAGTAGCAAAGGCTCTTGGCCCTGGCCACACCATTGTAACCATTTTATGTGACAGTGGGATGAGGCATTTAAGCAAATTTTACAATGCCGAGTATCTGTCACAGCATGGATTGACACCCACGGCATCTGGATTAGAGTTCATGAGCATCAAATGAACCCTGCAAAGATTTCGATTCCGATGCAAACATTCTCCATCAAATCAATTGGCATATTGAGTAATGTTTGTCGATGGAAATTTCAGAAGTTACTCAGCCAAGTTGACCGTAACTTTGGGGGAACGAGCATCCTGAACGATTCATTTAGTTAGGATTGGAACTTGGCATTTTTTCATTTGAACTGCCTTTATAAAATTTGGAGACTCAATATATACCGAATATTTACACTTTTTTTAAATAATAAATATTTACACTTATATACTGCTGTTTTGCTACTTGCATTTCAGAGTTTAGATTCCTTTTGGAACTGCAAAATTCGGAGGCCTAACGATGAGTGCTTGCACTGCAAAAGTCGGTGTCTTTTGATCAAGCATGACTTGAAACTTCAATTTTGTACAATATAAACAACTCCATATTGAATGAAAAAAGATTAGTGAAATAAGAGAATTTCCAAATGGCTAAGCAATGACGCAAGTTCATACTGTTATGGTGAAACCATATGAGTTCCCAATTGTACCAAGGCTTAAAAATATGACTTTCAATGTCTTCTCATTAGTATTAAAACGGTTGATGGATTATTGTCAAACTACATAAGCTCAGTAATTAGCTTGCATACAACAAGACAAAGACTTATCATAAATGGTGCCGGTATGTTAAACTTTGCACCGTTTAAGTATCTTAAGCCACAGAAAGCTTTGATTCACTGGGGGTACGACTTATCAAATTGCGATTCATCGCAATGTGGGTCTAGCCAATCCCTGTGGGAACCCTTGGACATGTTGGGGCTTGCTTTCCCACCACCTACAAGCTCTTTCAAATTTTCCATCTTGTTCTCTCGCCCTGCCCCGCCGATCCTTCTATCAGCTTCTTTTAGTTTTTGTTTAAACCGTTGCTTACGACTGGACAGGTTCAGCTCCTGCTGCCTTGATTGTGATGGTGGTGCACCATGCGGTCCCAAGTAAATGTTCTCTTCTTTTTTGGTCTGCACAAGCCAAAATATAAACATGTCTACATATTAGCTTCTATTCGTCAACAAGACAAAAAACTTCAAATAAATGAATAGACTCTCTTGGCATCTACAGGTATAGATATTTGCAAATGACCTGCTGCGAATGGGGTTTTGATGTTTCTACATCTGAAGTATCAGATTCAATTTTTTCCGGTTCTTCAATTCCCAAGCTAGGAATCACGAATCCATCAGTGTCTGATGAAAAATAAAAAGTACATGGATTAAAATAAGATATCTCAGGTTAATCAATTTCAATGATATACCTTTTTTTTCTCTAAAACAAAGGAAGTAAACATAAACAATGTCTCAGCACATTAACATGTAACTTTATCAAAGCAAAAAACCGCACAACAATAAATCACTAATTCACTATGTTCATTGGAGACATGGAAACTCTCACCCTCTCTACTGATAACGATCAGAAAATGATGCAGCAGATTCTCTCTAATCCTAAAAGATGACCCTTTACAAGAGGCCACTTGGCACAGCCATCTATGAACTATGTGCCAAGATATAATGATCTGCACAACTAGTGGCGGAACATCCCTACCCAACCAAATGCCCCCGCCCTACAAGAGGTCACTAACTGAGGAAACATAAACAACAAACTAATGGAAACCAGAAAAAAGTCAGCAGCATATACAGACACAAGAGACATGAATCGGAATGTCAAGCAATTGCAAACCTGAAAGTAAGGAGTTAAACAAAAATGCATATGTTTTTACTATCATCTTGCTATAGAACCAAAGGCAATAAAAGAACAATGAACAACTAAAGCTTCATGAACTTATGCATCTGCAAATACAAACATGCTTTCTTTTGGCAGTTTATAAGTTTATCCAAGAGATGCCAAGTTATCTATTCTTTTACTTATCCCTCACACCGATATCCTCCACAAAGTGAAGCTTCATGAACTTATGCATAAGATCATCACAATCGATACAAAGGTAACCAGATACCAACTAATGCAATAAAGAATAATACAAGATACTATAATAGCATGGTAATGAAGGAAACACATAAACCTCAACTTACTGTAGCTCGATATGGATACGATCATGATCCACCAATCAAGAGAAAATCAACAAAAAAAACATAATTAAAATAGATAATTATAAATACCAAATATCGTCCAATATTCATAGTGAATCGATTCAAATATCCAATTCTCTCACATATATCAGTAGAATCTAAAAAGCCCACATCTAGAAATTAAAAATAAGCAAAAACCCAATTATAAAAATTTGATTTTTAGCTAAAGATCCAAAATCCTTCTATTCACCAGAATTTTCCAAATAAACAACCAGAGAAAGAGAGCTAATATACCCCACTCATCTTCTTGTTCATGGAGTGAAGAAGTGGTGTGCACTGGAGATGAATCCATGAGATACTGAAGATCATGGATTTCAAAGGCGAAAGGGCAACAAAGCCCGGAAAAAGAAAGAGAGATCAACAAAAATCAGCATAACGAATCCAAAAAACAAAAATATAAAAAGGAGAAAGTTGCGCAATATATAAATAGAAGCCAAAACTAATCTTAGATTTGGAACCTTATTCCTTCTTTTCTAGTTGGTATTTTTAATTCAATAAGGATAGACAGGAATTGAAAACCCTAACCCTTAAAAATGATTTTTGGGTACAAAAACTACTAATAAGTTACTTATTTACAATAGGTTAAATTATAGTTTTGGTCCTCGATAATAGGTTGTAAATGAGACGAGATCGCAAACTACTCGAGATCAATTCGATCAAGACTCGATAAATACTCGACTCGAACTCGAGCTCGACTCGAACTCGAGCTCGACTCGAGTTCTTAACGAGCAGAAACGAGCTATTTAATATTTAACTCGAAAAGCTCGTGAGCATCTCGAAAGTATAATATATTAAGATTTTATTTTTTTAAAAATAAATTATTAATAATATTAATATTTATGTATTTATTTTTAAAAGAAAATACAGTAAGATTTTCATGTATTTAATGTTCACGTTCGAGTTTGAGACTTTAATCGAGTTAAGTTTAAGATTTTTTTTTTCATTTCGAGCATTTTCGAGCTATTCATGAGCTTCAGTTCAGGATTTCGAGTTCGAGTTGAGCTTGAAAATTTTAAACTCACGGGTTTTCGAGTCGAGTCGAGCTCAGCAATACTCGAGCTCGACAATACTCGAGCTCGACTCAGCTTGTTTACACCCCTACTCTATAATAAAGTTATTTATTTAAAGGGGGCAAATTATAATTTAAGTCATTTGTCATGTTTAAATTTAAGATCTAACTCATGTACGTTTTTTTCGGAACTCAACAAACCAAGATTTATTATAGAGGCAGGCAATGGATCGCGCAAGTGCAAAGGGGCTGTCCGGGGACGAGGAGAGAGGAGGCGAAAAGCATCGCTGCTATCGATTTGAACAATAACTTATGCAATAGGTTAAATTAAAAACCCATTCTGCCAAGCGAGGTTGAGGCCTTCAAGGATGCCCCAGAGCTCGACTTCAAGCACACTTGTATCCCTAGATAAAGCGGCAGACCAAGCGCTCAATTTTATCACATAAACAGACGGGGAATTTACAAGCCTGCATAATGAAAGAGGGAATGCTCAGCAAAACCGATTTCGCAAGAGTAATACGACCTGCGAGCGACAGAGTACGAGTTGACAGCCCATCAAGTTTATGTATTCGGAGAGAAAAAGATAGTTGTCTTAAGCTTGTTCACTATGTGACCAGATTATATCCGAAGGAGTCAAGCGTATCTTCTATTAGAGTGGCATGTTGCAAATTGACCTTGGCATAAAGGATGAGATCATCCACAAAAAATAAATGAGAGACAGGGGTTCCTTTCGTGCAAGCTTGATTGCAGACCAAACACCAGAAGAGACACAGTTGGTGATGCTGTGACTCAGACGCTCCATGGTTAAATTGAGAAGGTAAGGAGATAAGGGGTCAACCTGGAGGATACCTTTGCCCGGGATGAAAGAGCGACTCAAACGTCCATTCCATTGGACCTGTATTTCTGAGGAAGAGACACCAAGCATAAGCAGGCGGAGGTCGAAAGCTTTCTGCAAATCCACTTTAACAACCATCCAACCAGTTTGGCCTTTTTTTTGAAGTCATTGTGTGAACCACTTCCTGATTAATAATGACGTTTTCGGTTATGCTCCGTCCCTTAAGGAAACTGGTCTGCTGTGGACTAATGAGACCAGGCAGGATATGGCGAAGCCTTCGGACAACAATCTTCGTAATGAGTTTGTAAAGGACAGTGCATAAACTGATCGGCCTAAAATGAACAAGAGACTCCGGAGTACTGATTTAGGGATGAGAACCAACGTAGTTAGGAACAAGTGACTAACGTATCATTTCGTTACTATTTTAAGATTGAACCGTCAACATCCATTAAAAAATCTATCACTTAAACATTATTTGACATTCAACTTAATTTATAATTTATTTTAACTTTTATTTAAAAAATCTAAAACTTCTAATTTCTAAAAAAAATCCCTAAAAGTATATAATTTCTCACAATACAAAACTATAAATTCACTATTTTTTCTATATAAAAAAACAAAGCATAAGCCCTCGTCTCCTCACCCAAACCCTTCATCTAAAATAACTACGTCTATTTAAAAAATAATATTATATTATTAAAATTTTCAATAAATATATTTTAAATATTTTAATAATAAATAATTTTATAAAATAATAATAAAATAAAATATTAATATTAAATATATAAAATAATATTATTAAGTATTTATATTTTTAAATTAAAAATTGAGAAAATGACTTACGGAAACGGAAGATTAAAACCGGAAGTGACTTTATACAAATTGCAAAGAAAATTTTAATACAATTAAATATCAAAAAATAATTTTTAAAAAATAAACAAACCCTTTAAAAGAGATTAAATTCATAATTTGAGTTTTATAATATATTATGATTATTCTCAATAAAAAAATAGAGAAAAAGAAGAAGAAAGAAGCCACCCCGGTATCAGCCCGCAAATTACCTTCATGAAATAGGCCCCACCAGTAAACCCCCAAAATATGGGCCCCACAACTTCCAAGATACCTCCAAAAGAAGATCTCAGCCCTTGGATTTACATCACGTAGAGGGACAAAGATCAGTGTCGTTCATTACATCCCATCTCCAATTTCGCCCAATTTCTGACAAGATGCCGTCCTACGTGTAAATTAACTGCATTTGAAATCCGGGTTTCAAGTCCGGAATTTGAAAAAATTGAAGCGCTCTGCTCCCTCTTCACCTTTTGAATGATCACAAATAGTTCCTGAATCACTGTAAGTTTTCTCTTTTTCTTTTTCATTTTTCAGCTTGCATATGGTAATTAGTCCTCAATTCTTTTAAGTTTGTCTTCTTTAAAATTTGAAATTTGGCGAGTTTTCAATTTTTTAGATTTAGGGTTGTTTCCTGTCCAAAATGAAAATCTTATTAAATTAAGCTTAATAGGCTTGGTTTTAGGTTTGTTAAAATGTGATTTATGATTTGTACAGGTAGAGAAACAAATGGAAAAAAAAAACGAGATTTAAAATTTTCTTTCTTGTCCTCCCAAAGGAACCAAAAAGGGAGTACTTGTTTTTTGTTTCGAATCTTTAGTTCTTATGGGCCAACTTTGTGGTTTTCTTCATTTTTCAACATGTTTCAGTCCCTCGGATCTCTAATATTGCAATTCAAGTCTGTTAAGGCTTTGTTTTTCTTTGGTGGTGTGAGGCTTTCTCCCCTGTTTGCTTCGCTGTAGCTCGTTTCAGTTGAAGGAAATTTTCTTCTCCCAAGTTGAATGTTCCTTGTACCCCCCCCCCTTTATGGAGAGTGCAGTTCTTCTCCTTGGTTACAACTTTTTGCTCATTTTATTCCATGGAAGCTTAGGAGAACTTTATTGTGTGTGAAAAAGACATTTCTTTTGTTATGCGAAAAGACTGCAATGGAAAACTAACTTACAAAATTAATATGGCCTGCCGATTATTCCCTAATTTATCAATTATTATTTTAGTGGGGGTATAGTGTTTGTTGCTGAGTGTTGTAGTGTCTGTTTAATGGTTGTTTTGTTTTGTTTTGTATGTAATAATTGTTTTTTTCATTATTTTGTTATTCCATCCTACAGCTTTGGAAGGCTAGAAGAACCAAAGTAAAGCATTTGCTTTGAATTGGTTTGATTATGGGTGAAGAAGAAACGAAGACTGAAGTCCCTGACCCAGTGGCTAATGGGACTGCTCTTCCAGAAAAATCTGTTGAAGTTGCATCTGATAAAAGAGAGGAAGAAGATAATGGGGTAAAGGAAATGGAAGAAGATGAGAAAAATGATGAGAAAGTTGAGACTGAGAAGATGGATGAAGACCAGCAGGTCAAGGAAAACAAGGAAAGCAAAGAAGCTGAAAGTGAAGCAAAGGAGGAACCTAAAATCGATGCAATGGAAGAAGAAACTGATGCAAAAGAAGATGTCAAGAAAGTTGAGGAGGAAAACAAAGATGAGGCAGATGAGTTGAACAAAGTTGAAGAGGAACAAGAAGAGAAGGCTGAAGATGAATTGAAAGGAGAAGATGAAGAGGAACAAGAAGAGAAGGCTGATGATGAATCGAAAGGAGAAGATGAAGAGGAGCAAGAAGAGAAGGCTGATAATGAATTGAAAGGAGAAGATGAAGAGGAACAAGAAGAGAACGCTGAAGCTGAATTGAAAAGAGAAGATGAAGAAGAACAAGAAGAGAATGCTGAAGAAAGTGAGGAGGAAAAAAGTTCAAAGAAGCGAGGGAAAGTTAAAAGAACTGGGGAGAAAGTTAAAGGGAAGACAAAAAAGTCAGAGGAGAAGAAGGAGCCAGAGCAAAGAACTCCTCTCACTGATCGACCTGTGCGTGAGCGGAAATCTGTTGAAAGACTGGTTGCATCTATTGAAAAAGATTCTTCTAGGGAATTCCAAATTGAAAAGGTCCCCCTCCCCCTTTTTCCTGGCTATCCATTTTACAAAACAATTTAGATGTTTAAAATTTTGATGGTGCATCAGATATTAATTGGTTGCTTTGGCAATTGCAGGGAAAGGGTACTCCACTTAAAGATATTCCTAATGGTGTGTTCTCTAGTTCTTATATCACTCAAATTAGTGGGTTTGTTATAGAAAATATCCTAAAATGGCTTTGTATGATGCTATATTTGTAAACCATAATCAGCTCATTTCTCCTATTGCTGTTCATCATTGATTTTATGCTGTTTGCATTGTCATGCTGCTTCCTTAGTTTAATTTTGCTCATTTCTTGGCCATACATATATCTACCAAGTTCCTTTAATGTGTATCGATATTCCTTTTCCTTTGAAATCAGATATGTTCTAGTATTTGCTATTAGTTTAAAACCATAAGCTGAGTGAAATAACATCTGCTATGTCATCTTCTGCAGTGGCATTCAAGTTGTCTAGACGGAAGACTGATGACACTTTCAGGTTGCTTCATACTGTTCTCTTTGGAAGGAGAGGGAAGGTAATCTGATTGCTGTCAAATTTTTTTCCGATACCATCCAGCATTTCCAATTTGTTGTTTCGTCCTCTTGCTTTGATGATAAGGGTTTATCTGCTTGCAAAAACACATAAACAGAGTCTATAGTGATGCATGTGTGCATGAGTACAGCATGAGTCATTGCAAAGAAACATACTTGGATGGTTCTGGGTTGCTTCAGTAGTACATTCCTGATTTTGCTTTCAGTTTACTCATATTCCTTGCTCTTTGCAGGCTGTTCAGATTAAGAGTAATATTTCCAGATTTTCTGGTTTTGTGTGGCATGATAATGAGGTAAGATGATTTTAAAACTATGAAGCTATATTTTTGTTACGGATGATTGATTTTTCTGTAGGAATTGGACTTATGGGCTTTAAACCTTTTAGGAGGCTTGTAGCTTTTCTACTTGTTTAAGTTGCTTATGTGGCTTATATTAGTGCACTATAGTAGGTTTTCTTGACCTTATTCCATTCTAATGCTGTGATAATCACAGGAAAAGCAAAAAAGTAAAATAAAGGAGAAGTTAGACAAGTTTAATAAAGAGAAATTATTGGAGTTCTGTGATGTGCTTGACATACCGGTTATGAAGGCTACTACAAGGAAGGTTTGTTTTGCTACTCTATTTCGTGCTTTAGTTCTGCCAGCTAGTCTGTTTGATTAGGTCAGAGCACTTTTTTACTAAGTTATTCAATATTCATGCAAATTGATCAATACAAACGCTACTAAGACTTGTCTGGTGGGTTCTTTTCTAACCTGGTGTGCAGTAAAATGTTGGGTAGCAAACCATGTCTTTACATAAAGTTTCATAACTATGTTAATCTTTTTCCTTTCTTTTTTATTCTTCTTTTCAATAAAGCTAAGGTTTTGTTGCCTTCAACTGAGAAACCCTCGTGTATGTGATTAGTTTTAATAGTTTGGAAAATGCCGAGAAATATTTGGTCACTTTGCTTATGTTTAGATGCAACAGTTATATTAGTAAGATCTTGATTCTAGGATTGTGGTTCAGTAGAAGGTAGGGGTGAATTTTAGAGTTGTTCTCAAGACCTCGGGTTATTAGGAATATGAAAAGTAGTACCACTGCAGAAGTCGAGTGTAATTTATATGAGAACTTATTAATAATCAGACTTTCACAATCCTTAACAAAATGCTAATTTTGTTACTGAAGAAATTGAATTTTTATAATCGGTGTTAATAAAGTCTAAAATGGACTTGCAGGAAGATATCATTTCAAAGTTGATAGACTTTTTGGTGGCCCCTCATGCTACCACTACTGTTCTACTTGCAGAAAAAGAAAAGGTTACATTTTTACCTACTGCTTTTGCTAAAGTTCCATTTTGACATGCTGATTTCTAACCTATAGTGTATTTTCCCCCAGTCAAGTAAGGGTACAAAGCGCAAAAGGGCTACAAAGTCTGGAACTACATCTAAACGGTCGACAAAGGTATTATTTCTTCCTTGTTGACATCAGAAATCTGATATTTGTTTTAACCACTGGAAGTTTTTGTTAGGACAATCACCTCTGGTTACTGTGTTCAAGGAAATTCTAGTTTACCATTCAGTTAGATCTCCTATCTGTAAATAACTTGTGCTAAATGAATGCTTACTGTTATGTTTTCGGCCAAGGACTAAAGGGTCAGCATTTGGTTTTACTTCTTTTTAAATTTATTTTCTTAGTTATTTTATTAGGTTGACCCCTTATTGTATGTAATATGCAGAGTCAAAAACAGAGCGGCGATACTCCAAAATCAGGGAAAAAGAACACTCCTGATTCAGAGGATGAATCTGAAGAAGAGGAAGAGGAAGAAGAAAAGGAAGAGGAACAGAATGTAGAAGAGAGAAATGAAAATGGAGTTGCCGAAAAATCTGAGGACGAGATGCCCAAGGATTCTGAAAGTGAGGAGAAAAATGAAACTGAAGACGATTCTGAAGAAGATGCAAAGAAGAAGAAAAAGAGTTCAAAGGTATCATCCAGAAAGCAGGAATCAGCTGGAAAAGCTAAAACCAAGAAAGTCACAACTCCCAAAAGGTCTACCCCACAGAAAAGAACCCCAAAAGCATCGTCGGCTAAAAATTCAAAGGCTGATGATGGTAGTGATGAAAGTCCTAGGGTGTCTTCAAGGAAGAAACCTCAAAAAGTCACCAAGGAGAAGCCCTCTACACCAGTGAAATCTGCCTCCAAGGAGAAAACCAGTAAGATAGCTGCCTACATTCTGTTTGTCGATGCCTTTTGTCAAGGAAATTGAATAATTGTCTCCCATTAGCCAAATTTGTAAGATCAGCTTTTGGTTATGAGCATTTACGGTGATATCTTTTTTTGTATCTTTAAAGGCAAAAGAGTGGGAATGGCGAAGGGCAAAGCTAAAGAGCAGAAACTGAAGCCAAGTGATCATGAACTAAGGGATACAATTTGTAAAATTCTTAAGGAAGTAGACTTCAATACGGTAAGATCTGCTAGTAATATACTACTATTAGAATAGCTGCATGCTTTACTAGACCTTTTTTGGGCTGGTCCTGACTACCATGACTATTTTGGTTTCTGAATTAGAGAGTTAGTTTATCAGGACTTTGAGTTCAGTGCTAAATGGGTTATCCATGGATAATAATTGTACTATCTGTAACCTTCATTTGGTGGAACTGGAAAGTTAGAATAATCTCCGAGGGTCACCGACTGCTAAGACTATTTGGTCGCATTTTGTCATCTCAAAACCAAACATTCTTAGCTGTTTCATTGAGTACGATGCTGCTATTGATGTTTTATTTTGAATCATTTCACTGAAGAACTTAGCAGTGTGGAAATGAGATGTACTCTTTTCCATTGTAGTTTTGGGAATGTTTATTGACAAAAATATTGCTTTTTGTACTTGATTTTTGAAACACACCGCCCTTGATTTTTGTACTTGATTCATTTCATTTCAATTTCTTTGCTTAAAGGAATTTGAAAATTCGTTCTCCCATGTTTTCATTTCATCATTTATATTGTTTCCATTGTTGTGGCTGACATAAGTTGTATTACTTTATCTGCAGGCTACATTCACTGACATTCTGAAGCTTCTTGGTATGCATCTTTCACTTTGTACTTGGTTCTCCCATCTATGTTATATACCAACACTTTTATGGCTCAGTGTTGAATTATGAAAGTTAACAATGGAAGATGTGCTTGTAATGGTTTTCCTTCCAAATTTCATTGTGAATTTTGATGGGACCGCTCAAAGGCAAACAATGAAAGCCAACAATGAAAACCATCTTTTTTTATGGCTAATTTAAATGTCTGATAAGGAAGTCATAGTAATGGTTTGCCTTCTAAATTTCATTGCTAAATTTTGGGGGCACCTTGATTTGGAGCATGAAATGCTTGTTTCTAGGGGAGTGGTGGCCTAGTTTCTAGGATATGTGTAGGATTTAAATTGAGATTGCGATCGCGTTTTTGGTTGCGTTGTGTTTATCACGATTGCAGTCATTGTGGGTATCACGGTTATGAAACAACAGTTTCGGATGACACCTTCATTGCTATATAACAGTCACTATTCCAGTAGCGGACCGCTATTTAAATCTCTGGTCACTGTAGACTTTTCTGATATGCAATGTCTTAATGGAGAATTGATTTTCATTTCAGCACAACATTTCAGTACCGACCTCACCCCGAGGAAGTCATCGATCAAGCTCATTATCCAGGAAGAGCTTACGAAACTAGCAGATGAAGCCGATGATGAAGATGAAGAAGGCGATGCTAAGAAAGACGAAACCCAGTCCGCGGGACAAGATGGAATAATAACTACACTGGAAAATGAAAAGGTGTAGGTATTGATGTCTTGTGCCAATATGTACTTTTTAGCTATTACTTAGCAGGTTTGCTTGTAATCTATTGTTGGTTTTTTCGATGAGCAAATTAGCAATTATCAAATACTAGAGAGGGAAACTGGAGTCACCTATCTGTGTTGCAGGATTTGTACAATCAATTAACATAATCTGTAGTACTTTACTATCAGAAGACCCAGTATTTTGAGTTACAGAACAGAACTGCTTGAGTTTATATATATATATATATATATCCATGTCTTTTTAGCGTTGAGAACTATATATTGCTGTTCGTAGATCACTGCTTACATTAATCATCAAGGAAAAAGAAAAAGGAAAATTACCTGATACAACTTGCTTCCTCCATTAATCGATTGAAGAAGCTTTTAGTAGAATCCAAAGCAACCTTAAGTAGCTCAATTTGCCCTTTGATCTCTTCAATTTTAATCACCGACTCCTCATTTCCGTCTCTCGATTCTTCAAACAAAGGGCTCAACAACTTGATTCTACGAACCAAATTCTCATGCATTTTTTTATACGAGTTTCTACACTGGTAAACCAGATATCTTCTTCGCTAACTCAGCTACTTGACTCAGCAATTGGCCCTTGGAGTCACCTCAGTCCCATGATCATTCAAACACAACAACAACAACAAAAAGAACAAAAAAAATCTAAAATTAAAGGAAAGGTTGATCCTTTGTGGGAAATAACCCAGATTATGGAATTCAGTTAAACGAAATGAGTAATTTTGGGTCTTTAGAAAGGGAAGCCATGGAAGATGGGAAATTTAAGCTGGTTGTTCTTGTTTAGAAAAAAGGGAAATTTTGATTTTGAGAGGTTTGATAATGAGGGAGAAAATAGTGACTAAATTCATAGAATATGTAAATATTAAGGACCAAATATAGAATTATGCCAATTTTATTAACAGACAGTCACCACCTCCGTTAAAAATTAATGATCAGTGACTTGATTGAAACATTTAAATAGTTGGGTGGTCTGATTGATTCAATTAAAACTTAGGTGATCAAATTGATTTTTGACTATAATTTCGTGGTCTCCCGTGTATTTTACCCTAAATATTTTAGAAATCTGAATTCATTCACGTTGGAATTTAAATTCAATTAAGAGTTAGATTTATTTAATAATTGGATTTTGAGACAATGGTCGAGTAACGGCTAAAAGGTTTAAAATTGTCAACGGTCGGATTTTGGTTTTATAAATTTATCTGAAAACAGAGGAAAAAAAGCGAAGAAAATACCATCAAAACGCAAATCGAAATGCCTAGATTCATTCTTCTCCCCATTTTTGTCCTCACTGTTTTGATTTCTAGAAATGCAGTAGTTGCCGACAATGCACCTTCCCCGTCTCCAAAGCCCACACCAATGGTAACTCCGATCACTTCTCCGGCGAAATCTCCAACTACTTCTTCATCCCCTCCACCCTCTAAGTCTCCTTCCCCAACGCCTGCGACTTCTCCTACCAAATCATCGCCGCCTGCCACGCCTCCACCAGTTCAATCCCCGTCCGCAACCCCACCTGCTTCTTCGAGCCCACAGGCTGCATCTCCGGCGTTGGCACCCGTGAGTTCTCCTCCTTCATCGTCTCCAGCAAGTTCTCCGCCATTATCGACTCCAGCAAGTTCTCCTCCTTCATTGTCCCCGGTCGGGCCTTCCCCTGTTTCTGCTGATATTCCTTCAAGTTCAACAACACCTGCCGAGAGTCCTGGGAGTTTCCCGTCGAGCAGTAGCCCTCCAAGTCCTACTCCGGTCAGTTTGTCCCCCGACAGTGCGGCGGGTCCTTCTGTTAATGATGAATCAAGTTCAAGATCCAGTTACCCAGTAGGATTCGTTCTAAGTTTTAGTTTGGTTATTGGGGCCGCCTTGGCTATTTAGATTTACTTACATTTTTGGATTTCATTTTTTATAACGCAGCATTAATCTTGGATTTCAAACTCTATGTATAAAAAAAATTAAGACTCCACTTCATTTTCTTTTATGGAATGCAGTTGAATTTGGTTTAAAAATTATAGTTATTAAAAAATAATATATATCTTTTTAATAATACAAGTGATGACAAGATAATATTTATAACAAAGCGCGCAAATAGGGTGAATTACAAAAGCTTTTGTAGCATTATCTTATATCCATAGTACTAAATTACAGTTGCAATGTCTGTCGCGGTTGTCGACGTTACTTTACGATTAAAAATTGTTGCGGGCTTGATAAAGAAAATGCATTGAAAAATAGAAATTGGTTGTAAATATATTAGCAGCCGTAGTCTTTGCGGCAGCTAAGAGTGCCAGCATACTGAGCCGTCTTTGTTACAAGTGAAGTTGGTCTTGCCACCATGCCGGATGCTCTTATGTAGCTTTCCTTCACCATCATATCTCCTTCCGATCTCCAATTCCAACTCTTCCAGTCATCAAATGAACTTTCACGTTTCGTCACCTGATTTCGAGTAAAAATATGGAGTAATCTTATATGGTAGTATGCTCTGCATTTAATGAATGGAGTTAGTATAGGTACATTTGGGTTAGAGAAACTTGCCTCCTTTGCATAACTGTTATCTGATGCTATGAACACATTCCCTTGGCTATTGATCGTTGGGTTCGCGCCTCCTCCGATTGCATACATTTCCCAACCGACGTATACATTATTGACAATATGAAAGTAACCATGCCTGCACAGTTTAGATATCGTGCTACTTATGTGTGTGCATACTGCTGTAGGTGAATGCTACCTCGGCATTCTCTGAACCAGTCCTTCCCCAAAGTAGTTGAATGCGATTGTACTTGCATGTTCTTGTCATCAAGGAACTCGTCACTATGGCCCATGAGCATGACTTCGTTGTGATGTAGCATATAGTTGTTAGAGATTGTTATGGATGTCGAACCGTATGTTAAGTCGATAAGCCCGTCGTAACACTTTTCTAGTGTGCAGTGATCGATCCAGACATCCCTTGAGCTGAATATCGAGATTGCATCGCCGTCGGATCCACTGGTTATCGTGTATTGGGTAATGGGTTCCACACCATTGCATCCCCTGAAGGTAAGCAGTCATGTATGTAAATGTTATGTATGATTACATTACTCACATTACGTAAGGTTATGCAAGGTCCGTTTGCTATTTGGATATCATGTCCTCTTCCATCGATGGTCTTGTACGAGCTGATAAGGAGTTGTCCTCTTGTACCATGTCATGATCAAAGATGATCCATAGAGGTTCAGCCTGAATGGCTGCATGACGTAGTGTACCCGGGGTTGGAGATAGAAGATCACCATCATCCGAATTCGTGACCACATAAATTTCACCATCTCGACCCCCAATGGCATCTTTACTGAACCCAATTGTGCAGTCGACTAGCTTTTTCCTGTTGGATTCCCATTCAGGGCCACACCTCGAGCAATGATCTATAAGATTACCAGTTGCACATTGTTCCATGTCCAACCGCCTTCTTGTTGAGTACCTATATACATGTCATGGCACACTAAAGAAACTTCACAGAAAATACAAGAAAATCATTAGTAGGTCGCCGGAGAACCAAAGCGACTTACTCAGGTACGGCTTCCGATATTTCCCAAAGAGCATGTCCGGAGAATGTTGATGTAGCATGTAGGCATACAAGTAGGGAAAGTAGATAGAATGTTGGCATCTCAGGGAAGCTTATAGTAAAGAATACAAGAGACAGATTGCAGGACTTATACAGATATTATTATGCATAGAGTTAAAGGACATTTATTAGCAAAATTGGTATAAAGAAACTCAGGAATTGAATGATGCTGTGAAAAGCTGGTTAGTGTTCCCACGTGAATGGGGGGGGGGAGAGATTTGTAGTGTAAAATTATGGATTTGGCCAGGAATGGCCACCGAATAGTTAGGTTCATAGCTGCCTGCCTCGCCTTCCTTTTTTTAAAAAAGAAAGAATTTTGTAGGCTTTATATAAATCCATGCCTAAGGAAGTATTTCCTGTTGAAAATGCCGGATGCAAAGGAGTCGGAAATTTGTATTATTTAAAAGAGAAAATAACCTCAGTGACCAAAAATCCCATATAATATACGATTTTAACCAACTTTTTCCGGATTTGCCAAAATGACCAACAAAATCGCAATGCGATCGCTAATTCGCAACGCGATCTCCATTATCGCAAATTCGCGTTGCATTTCGCGTTGCGATAGTTGGAAATCGCGTTGCGATGGTATACAATGTCGTTGCGATTTTCCCAATTCGCAATGCGAATAAGTAAATCGCAACGCGAATTGGGAAAATCGCAATGCGATACTGACTATCGCAATGCGATACTTACTATCGCAATGCGATAATACAAAATCGCAACGAGATACTGACTTTCGCAACGCGATTCTGACTTTCGCAACGCGATTTACATAGCGCCATTCGTATTAACACGTTTTTTTTTTCAAATTCCAAACACGAATTTTTTCTTAATAAATCGTAAACTGAACCGTCCACAGTAATCGCAACTCATAACCTCAAACCCAAAAACACAACACTCAGTCCCATCTCCATCTCTCACTCTCTACGGCGAAATCCGTCCCCATCTCCGAAGATTTCCTTCCCCATCGCCGGCGAAATCCCTCACAACCATTCACAGTCAAAAATCCCTTACAATCATTCAGAAATGGAAAATCAACCTCCGAGGGTTAGTTTTTTTATTTTTATTTTGAAATTTTTGCATTATTTTAGGTTTTTCATATTGAGATTGATGATAAGTTTACTGGTAATTTCAATAATAGATTAACCATTTCACTTAGATTTCTTATTAAATTCATTCGATTGCTGCCAATACTGCTAAACTGTTTATCCTGTGAAGTTAGTATTTGTCTTTGCTTTGTCTTTTGGTTGAAGTAATGCAGAAGAAGAATAGTTTCGAGAATGAAAATCGCAACGCGGAAATAACTATCGCAACGAGATAATCGCAACGCGAAATAAAAATCGCAACGCGAAACCAAAATCGCATTGCGATTTTCATTTCGCGTTGCGATTTTTATTTCGCGGTTGCGATTTTCATTTCGCGTTGCGATTGTCTGGTCGCGATAGTCATTTCGCGTTGCGATTCTCTCGTTGCGATAGTCATTTCCGCGTTGCGATTCTCATTATCTCGTTGCGATTTTCATTTCAACCAAAAGACAAAAACAGTGTTGCAAATTTTAGTTTCAAGAATAAACTACTATTTATGTTTATTGTTTTGTTTTTGGTATATCTTGACAGTGTAATTTTTGGTATATCTAACTTGGTATGTTTATTGTTTTTTTGTAGAAATTTTTTTCGGCTTTATTGACATTAAGGAATAAAGTTAGCCTAGCCACTACAATTGCTTCGAAGCTTTCACCTGCACAAAGAAAATTGTTTGAAGAAACCTGCTTCGGGCCATGGCTGAGAGTACAGCATCCGGGTGGAGATGCTAGTTTGACCCATTTGTGGCTTCAGACCATGACTAGCGATCTACCCGACAGTATACAACGTGGTGAGGAAGAGATATGGTTTCATTTTCCACCGGCGTATACTTGTTTTGGGCGGAAGGAGTTCTGCTTAATCACTGGTCTACGATTCGGACACGATGATGTAGGCCGGTACACTCGTCATATCACCCGCCCATCATGGTTATCCAGGGTTTTTCCTGATGAGTCAATAGAGAAGCCGAACTTACACGTCGACGACATGAAGAAATTGTTTAATAAGAAAGATGGTTTTACTCGGATGAATGACGTCGATGTTGTCCGAGTATGCCTTCTACTACTTTTGTATGCCGGCTTTTTAGGCAAAGAGGCCAGACAACCTATTCCTCAGGATCTAAATATATGGAAAGCTACCTGGACTAAGTTGTCGTCTGCCTTTGATGACCGCAAAAGTTTGCGGGGCGATGGGTCGAAATACACTTTGTCAGGCTTTGTTTGGGCCTTTAAGGTAAGAATTTCTATATAATGTTTTTAAAATTATAATTAATTATTTAACAATTACTAATGTTTGTTATTATATTGTTTGTAGATTTGGATATTCGAGGCTTTCCCCAGCATGCGGACATATGCATTAAAATCCTCAGATGATATTCCTAGGGCTATTTCCTGGAAGAGGAAACGTATGTTGGATTGGGAAGACTTAATACCATATGCGACAATAAATAATGTAAGTTAACACAAATACTATCATATATAAACAAGTTATTAATAGTAGACGTTTAACTTTGTTTTAGTTTTTATATTTTTAGGAGGCCAACACTCCATTAATGAGACTGACACCCACGGAGGCTGAGCTTGCCACTGATTGGTGGCAAGCTAGTCAGCGTTTTTTTGATGGCACGAATGATGAGCAGCCTCCACTTTCTCCACTTCGAGAGCCATCACCTCACCCAGAGCCATCACCTGATCGACCCGACTATACACCTCTACAACGAGAGCCATCACCTATCCCGTCACATCATCGAGTCTCTTCTCCACCATCACCTCATGATAGGCGACCGACAAAGATGCCACGACTTCTATCTCCCTGTTCTCCACCTCCACGGGATGAGTCAAGGGAGTTACGTGATGAGGTCAATGCCTTACGTGAGGAGATCGGTACTCTACGCGATAACGATGGTGCATGGCGTGTGGAGGTGTCTACTTTACGTGGTGAGGTTGCCGCTCTACGTGAGATGGTAGTATCGTTGCAGAATGAGATTCATACTCTAAGCAACGAGGTAAGTTTAAGATTTTCCATATTTAACTTGATGATAAATTTACTCGTAATTTCACTTAAATTAACCATTTCACTTAGATTGCTTAGTAAATTTATTCGGTTGCAGCCAAAACTGCTAAACTTTTTACTTTAACACTGTGAAGTTAGTATTTGTCTTTGTTTTGTCTTTTGGTTGAAAGTTTGAAATATATTTATCTTTGTTTTCACTGTTTAAATATCATGTCTGTTTATTTACTGATATTTGTATTTTTATTTAGCGGACCGATAAGGTGGATGCTTTACGTCGGGTTTTTCTTGCACGAC